AGCAGCCCCTGTGATCATGTTATTGTCCCACAGAAGCCCTCACCTACCTTTGTGCTTCTCCATTCGCGCAGACGGACTCTCGCTCCTTCAGCCTCTTTACTCCTCTCATACAATGAAACAACCCCCCCCCCAAAAAAAAAAAAGTTTCAGGGGTGATGGGGACGGCGACTGCGGCGGAATGTGAGCTGAACCTCCCTCAACAACACGCTGACTTGAGCTGCACACACTGAGTTGTTGAGACGGAACAACAGCGCTCTCCACTTCTTCCTAATCAGTTTTTTTTTTTTTTTTTTTTGGCAGCGCCTCCTCCTGCAGCAGCATCCAGGCGCAGAGAGGCGCTCTCATTTCTTCACTTTTGCCAAGTGTCACTTAGTTTTTTGGGGGGTCTCATCAGCCTTAAGAACCCTGAAGTGCACCTATCATAACCTATCATGATTGTGCATATCCTGAAACAGTAAAAAATAAGTCGCACTTAACACTTTTAGGTTATTATAGTACTCCAGATTAACAAAAAGAGAGCGATGCTTGAGACAAAAACTTTTTACGCGGACATAAAAGTCGTTATTTTGTACTTAGGCTGCAGTTTTAAGCCTGTTCTTCCTCTCGCGCAGCAGAAAATTGGAAGTTTCTTGTCATAACAGTGGAGCACCCCCGTGGGAGAACCGTGACCGGGCGGAGGTATGAGAGGAATGTCAAGCGGAGTAACGCAGCGCACCGAGGAAAACGATTAAAACGCATGACATCGATCCCTGTGTTTGGCTGAAGGCTTAACATGCAGCCTATACTTAAGTAGGACAAAGGCAAGTGCAGGCAGACAGGCAGGATGCAGTTAACCTTCATTTAAGGAGACCCAGGCAGACAGAGGATGGCGATGTGCTTGAAAGGCACGCAGTACAAGGACTAGGCAGGTGGTGATGACTGGAAATCATTTGATGGTGTTTTTTTATACATAAAATCTATATGTTCTTTGTAAATTCACCATACAGGAAAACGTGTTGTGCAGGAACAGGGGTGTTGCCAGAAATAAAGCTCCAATGAGTCCTAGACCCCACCATTACTCGAATTTTACCTTTTTGTCCAATAGTACTGCCCTGTGAGATGAAATGATACAAACACAAAAAGACTAACTGAATATATATGTTTGTGCCATATGAGCACTGACGATCAATTAGTTGAAAAAGGTTTAACAGAACCATATACAGTGTTTATTATCACTATAATTATTATTTAGGTGCACTTACTGGTATGCTCTTTATAAATCCTTTAATCATATCCTTGGAGGTCATGGTTTTAGCTCACACAACAGTTAATACAAAAACTATTTCCTTACTCACACCCTGTAACGCATGCACAAACAAACAACAAAGAATGATGTCATGTTTGCCATTGATGGCGAATAACAACAGGTTCTTGAATCTACTGCTGTTGCATTGTGGCAGTTTGTATCTACAGCCAGATGAAAGCAGCCTAAACTTGAACCCCATGAGTAGGGTCAGCAAGCACTGACCAACGACCAACGTTCTCTAGAATTCCCAGTGAAAATAAACATATGTGTTGCTCCTGCATGTGTGCAGCCTTCAACATGTCGAAGAAGGTTCAACATATGAAAGCCTGTGCAGAAGTTTCATCTTTAAAGGTACAATAGTGATATAATTTTTTTTCACCTCAAGCAGCACAAATAGTTCTGGATACACCATACAATGTTTCACATGATTGGCAAGGTGGTTTCAAGTATCTTGGAAAACTTGCCACAGTTCCTTTGAGAAGTTTATCTTGATTTTGTTGGATATTCATGCTTTTCATGTTGGAGACAATATAATCTGATGTGGGATGCATTGTTTTTCTTTGTTAAGAAATAAAGATATTTCTTTAGAAATCTGGTTGTATATCAGGGTAATGTTAAGGAGGGAATTAGCTGAAGACACTATATACCTTCCTGATGACAGTCCGTCACAGATAATAGTCTAAGTGTGGTTTTACTGAGGTTTTTTTTTAAAGTTCTACTAAATGTCATGGATGGACAAGCAGTTATAAATTACAGGACTTATCTGTTACATTTTCAATTACTTTTCGTTGGTAAACAGATGGTAGGATTTCATCTTTAGACCTCACAGCCTTATCAAGCTAGTCTTCCCCCAATTATTAAAAAAGTAGTAAATCCCTCCCTACAGCTTCTGTTAGAGAAACATGCACTGTATTTGTTCATTGAGTCTGGCTTTTGGCATTTATCATGCCCATTCAGACAAGAAGATGATGTCAGTATCCTTCTACACCTCACTGCAAAGCGTTGAGCCAATGGTGAAAGTGTAAATGTGAGTCAGACGAGATGGCTCAAGATTAGCTGAAAACAAGGGTGGTCTGGCCCTGGCTGATCCTCTATTTCTTTATCTGTATGGCCACAGTTAGCTGTCTTATTAGAGCAGCACGGGAATTCCTATTGTGCAGCAGACCTTTGGAGCCCCACTGGCTATACGGGCAATTAAAAGCCTTCAGCACTCAGATATGAATAATTTAAGGTCATCATGCTCGTTGATGTGTGTGAGGTATTTGTATGTGGATGTGGAAAAAGTTTTTTTGCGAGATTTTATAAAGGGGGTCACAAATTAATTCGATAATGTAATTTTTGTCAAAGGTGAAACTGTGGACTTGGCTATGCGCTTAGGTTGTGCTGCTTTTTGAAACACAAAGAGCATTCCTCAGCTGTGAATCAGAGGACAAAGGTCACCGACTGAACTCCAAATTAACACTGAACCTTCTTTGATTCAGGGGTCTCTCCCATGTTTGCACACTTATGTAGAGACACATAATGCACCCCCTCAATCCCCCTGAAAAGAGACCTCCCGTCTATGTTGGTATTTTCATCCAATCTAGTCCGAACCATGTGCCTTCTCTTACTGTTACGTCTGGGAATTTCCAAAGAAAGCCGAACCCTCTGACTTTGCAGTACCTCCCTGTTTTTCTAATAACATTTGAACCGAGAATGCAAAAGGCACTGGTTACAGGCAAACTACACCTTGTGAGGATGGTGCCTCGTTCGTTACAGCACACAGATGTGATCACCTGACTAAATGCTAGCAGGCTCTCCAGTGGCTTAAGAGGAGTGTTAAGTCACAGCAAAATAATATTGTCTTAGTTGATGTGGGATCAGGTTTACCAGAGCCTTTGCAGAACATGAAGGGTAGCTCTTTAGAATCCAAAGTAGTTTGGGTTGGCACATGTAAAGCCTGTAAAATAACTGAAGTATTAATTTAGTCACACCTTAAAAAATACATACATGATTTTAATATTGAGCTAAGGCAGCTTAATAAATAAATCACACATACAAAACAATGTGAAAGTATATTCTAAAAAACATACACACATACGTTTACAACAGTGTCAGGTAAAAAATAATAATCCCTTTTGGTTTTGATTAATTCAACCCTTCTTTAATCTGGTTTATCAAAATTCAGTTTAGATACAGTTGAAATGACTTGAATAAAAGCTAGTACAGACAAAATAGTATCTTTGATCACATGAATAAAACTGGTGTGATTAGTTGAACACATTGCAGCTGAGGTGTAAATAATGTGGCAAAATTACAGTGTGAAATCTTTACTAAAACATGTATTTAATCTGTTCTTTGTTTAATATTTTCCAGCAAATCTGATAGAATGATGAGACCACATTTAATAAAGGAAAAGTCTGTTTTTTTCAGATTTGGAATGTATTCTAATCAAATGTGTATGCACTCAAATTTTTCTTGATTCTTGGTTAGCTCAACTTCCTCTCTAATAAGCTGCATAACCTGAAAGCATCTTGTCGCTGTGCACCACTGCTATCTGCAGGTCCTTCTGTGGAAGTGCAGACAGCTCCACAAACAGGGAACAGTTCAAGCTGCGCCAGTCAGAAATGATAAAAGATATTCCAGATGATTTTTAATTAACATTAATATTTGTTATGCCACTACATTATGAGCAAACACTTCAGCGACTTTTTGTTGTTGTTGAACTGTCAGCTCTGCTAACATCCATAGTTTGACGGCACACAATAAAGTGTTACAATGAATTTCATAATACATTTAAAAAATCTAATTAAATGAAGAATAAATTCTCCCCACAGTGTGGAAAAAGAAAACATCCTGGTCTGAGTTGAATATTTTATAGTGCGGTTACACAATGGTGGGTGGAGGTGGGCTTAAGGGAATGGGAGGGGTGTTACAAGGCCCCATATGTTTTTGAATTACCATCGGCTTAATTGATGCACAAAAGGAAAACACTGTAGATCAAATATATTTGCCTGTCTGTATCACACAGCTGCTCTATTGGACTCAGTTTCATGGCTGGTACGATCCTGTTTAGTGTGATCTCATAACCAGTACTACAACAGCTGAATCAGAGGACAACTCCAGATTTCAGCCTTCCGAGTAAATAGTACATAAACTTAGAGCTTCACTGATGTTGAAAACTTTGTGTAGTCTTGAAAATAGATAAAGAAGGTCTTATTTTCACTTCATGACAATAGTAACTCCTTCTAAAATTATTTTCAGTAGGATTTTATGTAATACAATTTCAGTTTGAAAAAAGAGGGGAAATGTTTCCAGTGTTTGAATTACATTTGTAAGTCCTTGATTTAAAAATGAATCTGTTTAATTGCCGCAGTGAATAACTTCTCGCGTTGTTTATACACTGTACCTTTAAGCGGGATCCATTTCCAACACGCATGCGCAGGCTGTGTTTGGTTTTGTGTAAGCTGAATAACTGTTTAGTGTCGCTGCGCTAGCAATTCCATCGCAGCCTGTTGTGTTCAAGCCTTCTCGGGAAATTAGGTGTTTGTTTTTTTTTTTTCCACAGGACAAGTGAAGAGACAGCAACACGCTCTGCCGCCAATGAATTCCACATCTGAACATACTTAAATCGCCGTCGAGACAGACCATTTGGATCAACAACAGTTGAAAGTGTTCGCTCAGTACCCCCCCCCCCCCCTTCGGCCAAAAAAAATTGAAAGGTGTTCCCCCCCCCCCCCCCCCCCCCCTTCCAGTCGGCAAGAGTAGCCCTCCGGTTCCCACATCACACCACATCCATGTTAACTGCGGCAGCCTGCTCTCTGAGTCCGTGGCTGAAAAAGCCCCAGCCTCTTTGTTTGTGTGTGGACAAGATTCGGTTAAATCATATAAGCCTGTGGAAGGACCGTCGCGAGCTCCGTGCTCATCCCGGTTTCAGTATGAAGGACTGTTAACGGAGGAAAATGGCTGCTGAAATTGCATTTGTGGGAGATTGGTGTTGAATCAATGCAGCAATGTATCCAGCAGAGGCCAAACTGCCAATAAGCTACACTTGCTAGCAAATCGTGCATCCTCCGGAGACTGTATTTTACCGGGTTTGGCGTTCAGGGAGCTTTGATCGATGCTCGTTTTTTTAGGTAGGTTCTTCCAACAAGAGGTAGGGTGAGGGGAAATCCTTCCACTCCACGTCTATGCATGCGGTTAACGGAACAGCTTTTGTAAACACCTAGCTAACGCTGTAATTTTTTTTAGCCATATATTTTTTCTTCCTCCGACGCCTTTGGGAGCAGGCTTGGCTAAGCCTCAGTCAGGGTTATGAGCCATACTCTGCGAATATGCAGGACTTCTTTGTGGTGACCGAGACCCAGAGTGACCGAGGCTTTCCCCCGAAGTAGAAGCTCAAGGCCCCGGAGGTCCCGGTTTGGTGAGCAGGAGACAAACGACTCGATAAACAAAAACAATGGAGCCTGGGGGGAAATGTACGGCCAAAATATTTATTTTCGGACCCAAGTCGAGCGCCAGCGGCGACCTTCGGGGACTCAACAAATGCTTGTGGGTGTACGTGTTGTTTTACTTCGTGCTGTTCACTCACGCCTCTCCGGCCAAGCCGTGTGACAAGAACTGCCTGTCGGGGAAATGTATCAACGGCTCCTGCGTCTGTGACCGGGGCTGGGTCGGGGATCTGTGCCAGCACTGCCAGGGCAGGTTCAAGTAAGTGGCCCGAACCGCTTCATCCAGCCTCCAATGTCGACGCCGCTCAACAGTGTCAGTAAAATTCCCTTTGTTTTCTGCTCAGCAGGACTCCCATTTCAACTTTACCCGTCCAGGATACAGTGTTTTGATTTCAGTGTGGATTAAATGTGCTCAGTTACTAAGAACAGGCTTTGTTTTTTTAAACAAATAAAGCCTTCTGACTGTAAGGCATCATGTCACCTTATTGAATGTGGTGATAGTTTTTTCTTGGGTAATCATTCGATCTTCAAATGTTCAAATAAAGTGTAATAATTAGACTTGAACAGTTTGAAACTTGTTGAGTTGCTGTCAAGTATCACAAAAGACCAAATAAAGCATCAGTCTGATGCAGTTCAAAAGATGTATTTGGCTCATTTGGGCTTTTTTAAGAATAGCTTTTGAATCATAGTGGATTTCAGGTTACTTCTCCATGTGGGTGGCAGGCCAGCTTGTGGTTTACCGTAGCTTCCTTTTATATTATCGGTACAGTTACCAGGCATGCTGATTCACACACGATCTGTTTTGTTTAATTTTAGGCTGCTCTCATGTTGGGGCTTGACATTTTTTTTCTCTGCTGACCAGAAAGTGTTTCGACCGCAGAATGAACCTCATTACACGACATTTATTTGGTTGGTGCTGTTATCTGAAGATACTTAGGGACATGTGGACTGAGCCACGCCGGCCTCAAACTTTACAAGCATTATATATGATGTTTATTTGTGTTTTGGGTGAAGTGATTGGTGGCTGAGCGCCGCTGCTTTATTCAATTCTTGTTTGCACATGAACCTTTTATTGGAGGCAGATTATTCACAAGTGCCCTGGTGTATTGACTTAAGGTCCCCAACACTTTCCAAGATTAGAGATAAAATCCCCAAACAAACAAACTAAGTGTACTTTTGTGCAAAGAGAAAGCCCACAGTAGCTTTGAGGAAGCATCTGTAATCCACTTGAGTTGACTTAAATTCCTCAATGTCAGTTTTTCGACTGTGAATGGTTTCTTCCTCAAAAGGGGAAATAAAAATACACACCGTGACAGCTGGGGAGGGTTTGTGACTACAGGGTAAATTGATGCATTTTTCAAGTTGCAGTGTTGGTCTTGACAGGAGCTTCAGAACACCTGAGCAGCACTTTGTGGCACAGAGGTCCCGAGATGGCAGTAATTACTGTAGCTCCATATATTTCTGAGGTTTGCTGTTGGGGAAATAACCTGTCATTACCGGGTGGGGGGGGGGCATGCTGAACTGCTCAGCATAAGGACTTAAAAACATCTCATCACATTGACATCTCTCGAGTAGAGACGTGCATCTTGCGTAACGTGTGATCTCCTCTGTGCGCTGCTGGGCGGAAAATCTATCCTGATTGAATCATTCACTGGAAAAGGTGTCTCGTTGTGGTAGAACACACGGAGCAGCCACAGGATAGTGTTTCTCTGTAAATGATAACGGGCAACCCATCCTCATCCAAAGCAGCTGATGGAAGGTTGCGCAGTTATGGCGTTTTTAACCATTCAGACCATTAAATCCTCTGAGATTAATGTCATCCCACGTCACCCTGTTCATCTTTGAAAAAACACAGAGCTACTCTGAACGAACACAGGTCACTTCCTGTGTTTCTGAGAACACCTCTGAAGACCTGGCATAGTGATTTGTACACATTTCACATTTAGCTTTGACACTAGAATGAGTTTTAGCAAGTAAAAATGTGTTGCAGACCCATTATACTTACACTGTCCCACGGAAATATTCACTCACCTGGTTTAATGTTCTAGCTCATTAATAACCAACGTACTGTTCTTTCTTCTCTTTTTGTTCTTGTCCTTTCAGGCTCACAGAACCCTCGGGGTATCTCACAGATGGCCCCATCAACTACAAGTACAAAACAAAGTGCACCTGGCTCATAGAGGGCTAGTAAGTAGATCTGAAGCTGATGGCACACAGAAAAATGTAGTTTCTCAGTGGAAACTCATGATCGCAGTTCCATCCAGCTGATGAGCGTCTGTGTTGGAGAATGTGTGATGTGGAGCTGAGACAGTCCAGCCTAAAGGAGGGCCCGGCACTTTGAAGGCTCCACTTCACTTAGCATCGTCAGCCAGACACGTCAAGAATCCTTATTGCCTTTGGTTTTCAGTCAGGATGGTAATTAACAAAGGGTAGCTGTTTTTTTTTTACCAGACAGTTTGGTAAAATCCTTTTAAAATTTGCTGAGAGTGCAGTGAGACTGAAAAGAAATGTTCCAGTGTAGTTACCGTCTGCTAATGAGCCATAGGAGGTCCTGATGAAACTGGACTTATATGTGATGAAATATTCACCTTATAAATGGATGCATATATACATCTTTTTTTTCTTTTCTTTTTTGTTCTTTAGCCCAAATGCTGTTCTTCGGTTACGATTCAACCACTTTGCCACAGAATGTAGTTGGGACCACATGTACATCTATGACGGGGACTCAGTGTACGCTCCTCTGGTCGCTGTTTTCAGGTAAGAAAGCCAGAGAATACTTTTTATTTGAGTTATGAAAATCCTGCTGGCAGCAACCTTTTTATCAAAAGTGGCTGCATGTCTGGATGGCAATATTTAGTTTGTTTTAAGACCCGTGTAAGGACTAGTTGATGTCTAGTTGATGCCCTTACACTGGGCTGTCAGAGCTGGACGGCCTAACTGCTGTGTTATGGAGCTCTGACTGTATTTTGAAAACATGAGCTCAATAAGATTTAGCTAATTACATTTCTCGTGTGTTGTGGCGTCTAGACATTCTAATTTCATAAAACCTTGGCATCAGTAATGTTCATTTAAGGCTGCATGTGCTTTTCCAGGCAGTGATATCACTACATATTCTGCATATTTCCACAGCGGCCTCATTGTGCCAGAGGTACGAGGTAACGAGACGGTTCCTGAAGTTGAGACAACTTCGGGCTACGCACTACTTCACTTTTTCAGCGATGCTGCCTATAACTTGACTGGATTTGAAATACTCTACTCGTGAGTATCTCCAACTAGTACCTTCTTTTTTGGTCAGGAAAGCAGCTCCTGCTGAGGTGTACAGGCATGACTGTCAGTGTTGATAGCAAAGTCTAGTATTATTCCAACTGAGTAATGGGCTACAGGGAGATTTTTCTGTGTTGTTTTTTGCAGCAATAACACAAGCGTCCAGTTCTTTTTCTTGCTGCCTGAATTGTTTTTTATCTGGTCGATTCAAACAAAGACCTCCTCAGCAGTTTTAAACGATTCGCCAAAGTTCTTATCCAACTTGTGTTTCTCGTCCAGCATCAACTCTTGTCCCAATAACTGCTCCGGCCATGGGAAGTGCACCCCGGGGAACTCGGCCGCCAGCAGAGTGTACTGTGAATGTGACAAGTACTGGAAGGGCGAGGCCTGTGACATCCCCTACTGCAGGAACAATTGCGGCAGCCCCGACCACGGCTACTGCGACCTCACCGGGGAAAAGCTGTGCGTCTGCAACGATAGCTGGCAAGGCAGGTTTTCAACCCAGCCCCCCCCCCACCCCCTTACAGCACACATTTTTTGACGCATGCAGCTGCAGTCATTAGTTAGAGACGTGTTACTACTCCTTCTGTCTGCAGGGTTATGTAGCACCCATGAACAGGTCTGCTTTGTTGTTTAAAATGGTTGCAACTGGTTGGTGATGTCTTGATAGGCCATAAGTCATCGTCTCATAATTTGGCTACAGCGTAAAGAAGGCAAATGCTTTTGCATGATGAAACTTGACCAACTGACTGCCAGGGAAATGTGCTTTTTTCAGCCGGGCCTCCCTTTACACACCCTGACATGCTCAGAGCTCCCTATCTGTTTCCTCTCTTAGAGGGTGGCCCATGCTCGTGCTTAAGTGTCTGGGTTTAAAAGACTCTAATTCTAAGTCACTTGTCACAATGTATTCTTAAGACGAAGCTGAAAAACGACAGGATAGAGTGAATGAAGCATCGGCAGCTCTTGTACAGAGAATGATCCGTGACATTGAATTGTTTGCGTCTTTTTTCATCTCCAGCTTTAACATTTCCACCTCCTGTTTTGCTTTGCCCCACAGGCCCAGATTGCTCACTAACCGTACCTTCCACTGAGTCCTTCTGGGTCCTTCCCAGCGTCAAGCCTTTTGGTACCTCACTAGCCCGAGCCTCCCACAAGGCTGTGGTGCAGGAAAAGGTCATGTGGGTGGTTGGTGGATATACCTTCAACTACAGCTCATTCCAGATGATTCTTAAGTAAGGCAATTTTACCAGATGTTAATTTTTTTCAACAATAGTCATTTGCTCGTAACGTAATTCATTTTGAATGCAAAGGTATTTGTTTTTAAACAGTTTGAAAACTGGTGGAAAAGGGAGGGAGGGAGTGCTATCTTAAACTGATAAAGAGTAAGGAAAACCTTTGAAATATATGGAAACCTTCCAAAACAAAAAAAAAGACAGTAAAAGTGGTTCATTTGCGTCTACATTATAAAAGGTGTTCAGCGATCACATGCTGAGCCATGTTGTCTCAGACTTTCTGAACGTGCTCGCTCCACCCACTCTTTGTTTTCTCACCGCCGAAGCGCTTTGATTCCCGATGCTCCGCCAGCATCTTGAATAAATAACAACCGAGCGTTGACGTGACCAGGTGTTGCTTTTCATTGTGAATGACTGCGCTTGGGAAGGCATGTGTGCTCATCATTGTGCAAAGCTTGTAGCTTAACAACAGCATTATTTGTGGCTGGAAAACTTAACGTGTGAAGGACACTGCAGCCATTTGTCTGCGTTGATGAAAGCAGCAGACCATGAAGCAAACATGACTTCATGTGAACATTCAGAGGGACCAAATAAACATGTGCTTTGGTGCGCAGTCTATATATTTGCTCAGTGCGGAATAACATGGTGTTTTCTGGGGGTGTGGTTCAGTTGTGATGCTATGCTGCTTTGCCTCTGCAGCTACAACCTGGAGAGTGGCATTTGGAACACGGTTCCCATCAGTAGCGGCCCCGTGCCAAGATACGGTCACTCACTTGCTGCCTACCAGGTAATCCACAGACACACACACATAGCGGCGCACAAAGATCCGCCCACGACCAAAAATATAAACAAAATCACTGCTAGCCAAATGTTTTCTCTTTGCATGTTCGCACAGAATAACAGCAAGTGTTTGTGCGGGAAATCAACCTTTTTTGTTTTTTTACTCACACGGTTTAAAACTAAGAGAAGACTGTATAGGTTCGAAATCTGAGATCATAAGCCTTTACAGTTGAGCCAGCTTTACAGTGTTGTTGCTCCATAACTCTACACTAACTTGATCAACTGTCCCTGAGCTTTTTATTTTGCTTTTCTAGCAGCGTGCGTCTGCTTTTTCTCTACACTTGTCCAAATAAGGCTGCATCGTGTAAAAGTCCAGCAAATTTCTCCTCCTCTGTTCAGGACGATATTTATATATTCGGTGGGAAACTGGAGGCCGGCTGGGGCAACGTGACGGACGAGCTGTGGGTGTTCAACATGCCCAGTAGGACGTGGCAGAGGAGAGACCCCGTCGTTGGCTCACCAGGCCAGACTCAAATCTACGCCGTGGAGGGACACACAGCCCACTGTGTGCTGCTGGACAGCGGGGACACTGTCATGCTGGTCATCTTTGGCTACTCGCCCGTCTACAGCTACATCAGCAACGTTCAGGAGTACAACCTGAGTGAGTCACAGCTTGTGGGACAGACATCTTGTGTTATGAGACCTCGAGCGCTGACGTTATCTGCCAGCGTTTTTTTCTGTGTGAGAAAACACACATTGTTTAGATTAATGATTAGATACGAGCCTGCCTCTGCTAATTTATCACTAAGCCAGTGAAAATATGAGTAAGGGAGATACAAATAGAACACAATGAACGATTATCATGCCAATTAAGCTTATGATGATGATAATGTTTGTACTGCCAAGTTGCCAAAATGTCAAGTTTATTGAAAAAATTGTTGATTCACACGCTTGGAAATGTGTCATTCAATATAATATGCATACATTTGAAAATGAATGAAAATATATGTCAGATGCACATTTCTGTGTTATTTCGGGGAAAAAAAGATAAATTGTTCACGCTCACTTTAAGTTGCTCTCATCTTTTTGGAGAATGAAAGTGGTGGCACATAAGAACATTTTAAGAAAAACTCTTATTTGGCACAGACAGAAATGTAGATTCTGTAATGAATTAATTTGGTGAAATATAATTTTAATGACAAGGTTTTTAACTGACAGCTACTGCCTTTTGAAAAGTTAGCTTAAAATCCACCTCTCCACTCTATGGAAAGTCTGCTGTTAACTTTGTGTGGAGTATGTTTGATTCTTCTCACTATGTTTAAAAAGAGAGATATCATAGCAGATTGTGGGAGTTTCTTCATCTTGAGGGATTTCCATTGTTCTCTCTTGTTAGAGTCCAACACATGGCTGGTGCCTGAGACACAAGGAGCCATCCCCCTGGGAGGTTACGGCCACAGCAGCACACACGACAGTGCCAGTGGCAGCATCTATGTTCACGGTGGCTACAAAGCCCTGCCGGCCAACAAGTACGGCCTAGTCGACGATCTGTACCGATACGACGTTAACACGCGGACATGGTAAGTCGTTTCATCATGTGCCGCTCTCACCCCTCAATCTGCCCTCCGGACTGCGGGCGGCACTTTACGCTACACGGCTTCACGGCTTGTTGTCTCAGACACTCTTGTCATGGTTGTGTTTCAGGTTCATTCTAAAAGAAAGCAGCTTTCCACGGTACTTGCATTCAGCTGTGCTGCTCAGTGGCACTCTGCTCATCTTTGGGGGCAACACACACAATGACACATCCCTCAGCAACGGAGCCAAATGCTTCTCCGCCGACTTCCTGGCCTATGACATCGGTGGGACTCTGAGTGACAGTGTTTTTGTTGTTTTGTCAAATCGTCTGTTGTTCCTTTATTAAGTGAAGAGTTGTACAGAGTATGTACAATGCCTAAAAGGCTTGTAACGCCTACAAGTTTTTTTTTAAGGCTAATCTATGGAAAGTCTTGTCAATATTGAATATCGAATGAAGCCATTTTGTTTAACATTACCAGTTTCATCGACATTGTTTTATTAGTTTTATACTTGATAGGATGTTGCATAAAAACACACGTGAATGTATATCCTCACACTTATGGCCCCTTCTTTTTCTTAGCGTGTGATGAGTGGCGAATCCTTCCGAAGCCGGACCTGCACAGGGATGTCAACCGCTTTGGGCACTCTGCAGTGGTTAGCAACGGGTGAGTCTTTTATTCTTTAAATACAATGATGGCACCTCTTATGTGAAAATACCCAGAAACCAAAAATGTGAAGTGGTCAGTCATTTCTACCAACACCAATCTAAAAGGAAAAGATACCAAAACAGATTTTGTCCTCATTTAGAATAATTGTGAAAGAAGTAATTATAGCCATAAAAGCAATAATTAGAGAGTGAGAAAAATCTCAAACTGAACAACCTTGTAAATTCCAGTTTGAAAACAAAACAAAACGTGGTCTTTTCCATGACGTCTCAATCAGGGGTTACTTCGTGTTGATTTGTCCCTTTTAATGCTAATGCTATGGATTTGTCTTTTCTTTGTCAGGTCCATGTATGTTTTTGGGGGCTTCTCCGGTGTTCTGCTCAACGACGTGCTTGTTTACCGACCCCCGAGCTGCCAGGCCTTCTTGGCAGAGCAGGAGTGTGTGAAGGCTGGACCAGGTGTCCGCTGCATCTGGAGCAGGGGTCGCTGTCTCCCCTGGGAACCCAGCATGGCGAATGGAAGCCTCACCCGTGCCCCATTCTGCCCCCCTAAAGCAGGTCCGACAGATATCCCAGTCTCTGCGTCCAAACATTTTCTTTGAACACTTTTCAAGCTTTCGATTTCTAAATGTTTCATCATGAGACTATTTGACTTTTACACTCTGTACTGTGCACTGATTTTCTCCCTCTTCATGTCTTGTTAGTCACAATGGATGAATGGTGCTACAGATTCTCCGACTGTGCCAGCTGCACAGCAAACACCAACGGCTGCCAGTGGTGTGATGATAAGAAGTGCATCTCTGCCTACAGCAACTGTACCACCGTGAGTCTTCCACCAGGGGGCAGCAGTGCACCTCCTGTGCCCCGAAACACCCAAACATGCACAAAAAAAATCAAATTTTTTTCTCAGGATTATCAGAGTTGTGCCTATAAAGGTTTGTAGAGATTGTTTTTTTTTACTGACCAGGCTATGGTTTTGTCCTTTCTTGGAAAACATTCTATCCTCACATCTCAGATGGAGAAACCAGTGCATCGTAGGACAGGCAGGATTGTGTGTTTCAAATGAGCTGTTTTTTTCAAACCCGATGCAGCCATTTGAAAAGTTTGTGATGGTGCCTTATAATCAGACAGTTTCATCACTCTTGGCCTCCACTCCTTTCTGTTGTAGAATGTGAAGAACTTCACAGAGTGTCCGGTGCGGAATGAGCAGGTGTGCAGCAAGCTCGCCAACTGCAAGAGCTGCTCTCTGAATCTCAACTGTCAGTGGGAGCAGAATCACTCACAGTGCCACGCTTTGCCTGGTAAGCTGGTCGATGGACCTTGAATTACATTTCTGGGCCCAAAAACATTTGATTTTTTTTTTTCTAACGCATGTCTGAGATGCAGGATGGGGGTTTAAACGTCACGCTCTTTTGCTTTTTGCTGTTAGTGAGCCGTGTGGGAATGTGAATACCACTGTTCCATTTCTCCCGTGTGGACTCTAAACGCTGAGCCCTTCTGTAACGTGCAACAGCTGAACTTTGTAATGAACAGATCAACTGACCTTCACGACAGAGGGAATTGTTGCAGACATCTGCAGAGTTTTTATTTATTTATTTTGTTTTATCACCGTTGGCCAGTGTGATGTGACCAACTTGAATAATTACATGGGATAATACAGTCTAAAACCTGCACCGGGCATTTGCAAAAATGTGGTTTCAAGCTGTCACCTTGATGTTGTTTATCAAAGCCACCAGTGCATTCAGTTTACCTCTCACCAGCTACCTCCCACCCAGCCTGCTGCTAACGCTGGCTGAATCTGTAGAAATAGTGCTGTCACTTTATCCGTAATTTTCAGCTTGTGAAGCTTTGTTGCCTAAGGGAAGAGTAATGGGAGCAACGAATAATATCTGTGTGTATGTTTGTATGTTTTTTTATGCCTGAAAGTGAGTCACTGCTGCCGCACACACGGCTAGCATCACTCTGAGGCCAGTAGATGACAATTACAGTCAAGCAAATGTGGAGACAAGCAGACACTCTTTAGCCGTAAATATTCAGTCCTTCTGGGGTTTGAAATGCTCGCCTTGCTTTCTGTCTTCTTCCATTTTTTTTGCGAAAGGAGCACAACACCCTGCTTAGTAGTACTTAACAGTTTCAGAATTTCTTTTACAATATACATAAGACGCAAGAGGCTCTAGTGATGCCTGGCTAGTACATAGCGACGATGTGGAATGATGGTGCCATGGTTTAGACCAGTGGCCAAAGCTATGCTCTAATGCCTCCTATCAGCAGCCACAATCTGGGATACTGTTTCTGCCTTCCAGCCCAGCAATGTAGTGAAGGTTGGAGCCAAGTGGGCGACGCCTGCCTCAGGATCAACTCCAGCCGAGAGAGCTACGACAACGCCCAGCACTACTGCAAGAACCTGAATGGAAACATTGCCTCGCTCAGCACCTCCAAGCAAGTGGACTTTGTGCTGGAGGAGCTCAAGAAACTCCAGCTACAAGACAAGGTAAAAGCAAACAGGACAAAGGAAAAGCTTCAGGAAATGTTCAGAAACCTGAGTTGTTAATTAACTTCATTTTTTCCTGAGCAGTTGTGTAGGGTTCAGATTTGTCTGATAGGAGCTTTCCTTTTTACTTGGTAATTTATTTATTTAATTGCATATTGTACATAGGCTGCATCTCAAGCTGTATAGTTTTTACAATTTTGTTTTGGAGGTACTCCTGATAAAAGAGAATCCACTCCACATGGCCACATGACTGTGCAAAGTCATTAGTAATGGTTTTAGTAATTAGTAATGCTGGTTTTTACTCTTATCAAAATATTGCCTTTTATAGAGCACATATTCAGAGGGGCTGTTTTTCTTCTTATTTCTTGCCTGACATCATGTGACCGCTGAATTTTCAGTGTACTGACAAAGAGCAAAAGTACACCAGATGTCAATTTCAACTTTGGAACGTCACTTGGAGCAGAAATAACCACTTCTGGTGCTGCAGGTCAACTGACTTTGTGGAGAGTTTGACTCTGAGAGGCAAATTGCAGGCTCCATGGTTCCGTACATTTCGGAGAAATGACCTATTCGCAAGGCATTTTCACACATGCAGTATCCAACTGGGCAGCATGTGAGTTTAAAAAAATAACAGTAACATTTACCACTAACGTCTTGTGGAGACGACCCAGATAGTTAATGTACCCTGCAGGAAACTCTAGAGGGTCAGCGATTGTGTTAGTGGGCAGGTTTTCATGTGCTGTCTACACAGCCCTGTTTTTCCCCTGCCTTTTAGCAGCACATCCTGCATCCTCACTAGCTGGTGTTCATCTGTGAAAAGAGCCCTAGTCATGCTTTTGATGCGGGGCTTCTTCATTAAGTTTATCTTTTCTGACTTTTGATTATTGTTGATATTATTAACTGTGATTAAAAGACCAAATTTATAGTGACCTGTGGGCAGGTTTAGGCTTGGATTTTAAGTGACTTTTATTTTATCGTTTCAAAATAGAAATAGTAATTACTGAAAGTGGATGTATTTAGCTTACTTCTGGCAAAAGCACCCCTTGACAGACCTCGCATATTGTACTTGCAGAGAACCGCTTTTTCTTTTTTGTCTGGTCATGCCTCTGTATTCATGAGCATATAATTTGCTGTCAGTCTGCTAGGTTTAAACTGGTTTGTTTGCCCAAAACAGAACCTTGACGTGTCATTCGGCATAATTTTTCCATTATATTAAAAGATGCATCCCGAAGGCAAATAAGTAATCATATCTGTGAAATAAATTTTGAGTCTTACTTTTAATGGGATCTTTGGTGTCCTTGTGTAAATGCATTTTTTTTTTTGACAAGATGCAGTGACACAGCAGAATGGGAAGAAGTCTCTTGACATTTTATCTTACATTTGAGTACTCAGTAACATTTGCTGTGCTCCCACAGCGGCTGTCTCCCTGGGTTGGTCTCAGGAAGATCAACGTGTCGTACTGGGGCTGGGAAGACATGTCTCCCTTTACCAACAGCAGTTTGCGCTGGCTGCCCGGTGAGCCCAGCGACTCTGGCTTCTGTGCTTACCTGGAAAAACCCCAGGTGTCAGGCCTGAGAGCCAATCCGTGCACTGCTACGGCCCATGGCCTCATCTGTGAGAAAGCCACAGGTGAGACACATACGCAGCCGTATTCGTGCCTAGTGCTTAGAACTAAAAAAGGCTCTTTTCAAAGGTTCTTTTTCTGTCTGTTCTGTGCAGGAAACCCCAATCAGAGTAGCCGCCCATCTTGCAAGAAGCCCTGCTCGCTACACACCAACTGTGCCAACTGCACCAGCCAGGCCATGGAGTGTATGTGGTGTGGCAGCACGCAGCGCTGTGTGGACTCCACTGCATATGTCATCTCCTTCCCCTATGGCCAGTGTCTGGAGTGGCAGACTTCGGATTGTGTGGGTAAGTTTTTTTCACTGAACTTAATCCGGACGAAGCGTTTTTGGAATTCTGCTGTCTGGCATTAAGGTGGCAGACCATGAGCTCTGCCTGATTGTAAGCAGTCCGTGTTCATCATGGAAAGAGAAGAGGTTAAAACAGCTTCAAATGGAACGTGTTTAATTCAAATGGAAAATTGTGTTAGTTTCCAGTGACTGACCCTGGGAGTTCTTTTTAGCTTTTAATGGCCAATTATTTTTGCATATAATCTCTCGCCCAACTGATAGATTTCCCCGCTGACTGAGCTATAGATGGACTCTTTACCATTAGCTGGTCTTGCATCAATGGACAGATGCTGCATGTGAGCAAGTTGCAGGCAATAAGAAGAATGTCCACATTCGTTGTTTTTTCTGTTTTTAAACGATGTTACATTTTGTGCACAGTTTTTTATTTTTCTAGTAAATTGCCCTCTCTCCCTCTTAATGAAATATTGTCAAACTAGTGCTTATACGTCCATCCATAACAAGATTGGTAACAAGGAAAATGAACTAGAAAAGCAAAATGGTCTATGAATGTTTACCCACAGCAGAATAAAAAAAGACAGTGTACACTAACAAATGATTGCAAATGTAGTTCAACTTAGCTGACATTACAGAACTGACCAGTAAAAACACGTGTTCACTCTTTAAAACTCTTAGATTTATTTAATCCTGCATAAATGATTATATGTTATATACCCCTGAGGGTTTCTGACCATATGGACAAAAATAAACAACTAAACATAAGCTAAAAGTCTGAATAAACTTTCACAACTTAATGCCATTTTTCTTCTCCCTGAACTCTTCATCCTTGCACAGGGGGTTGGAATCAATAGTTTTGTTTTTTCCTTTTTCTTTGCTCATCCGAAAACCATTATCTGCCTTGCCTATGGAGCTGATTCTGTTGCCACCTTTTGATCAATTTCGTTGTTCCGACTGAAATAATATCTGCGCACATGTTTGCAGCATCAGCTTAACAGCGCTTTTAGTTTTGAGTGGGAACTTGCCTCAGAAACACAAGAGAAGAAAGTTTGCTTGCAATATTTTGTTTCTGTGAGTTGAATATCATCATCGACTGGAATGCCGTACCCCCCCCCCTCTCTGCAAACAGGGGGTTTGATGTACTGAGAGTGCATCTGGAGACAGAAAAACATAAAGGCGCTGATCATGAACAAATTACTCATTGGGTACATGCCAAGGTGAGAGTGTTTTTCTCACGCTGCAGTGAGATGATTGTGGAGCTCCTTCACCTGAAGGTCGACGTTGGCGTTCAGGGTGGTGCCGGCCGCTGTGCTGCATGATGTATGAATTATCCTCACAGTTGTGTCACATTGTGAAAACATCTCAGATCAGTTTAGCGGGTAACAAATTTAGGGAGCCCAAGAGTGCCGTCTCAAATTCATTTGTGTCCGCTGATGTTGAGTAGCGCCGACACTCTTTTCTCAGTGGATATTTGTCTTGAGGAATTAGTCTCTGTTGGCATGAAGGACAGGAAAGGTTGTTCCATAAATTCTCTTTGTATTTCCCCCCTCTATCTGTTTACACCGGCAGAGTCGGAACAGTTTCAATCTGTGTTGCTTGTTTTGAGTTTTCACACCTCTTTTGGCTCTTCCTTCCTTTGAGCGTAAATATGTGTGTGCATTATTGAGCATTGTGCATAACTGCAATTGAAGCCACAAACCTGGGAAAACATATCCTGCGGTGGCATTGCCTGCTGAGAGGTTTGAAAGGGCTGTTTTCCATTGTATCCTGTCAGTGCCAAGAGCCCATTTTGCAGATCTGAGCTAGGACAAGTGCTTATTATTTGTAAGTTGCTGAGAAATTCTTTACTGTGGGGTTGAACTTTCAAAATGACTATCCCAAGTATATCTGTCTAGTTTAAATAGCCGGAATGAAACGCATGTTTATCTTTGCAAAGGACATGCAGTCTGTCTCTACATGGAGGTTAAATAAAAAACCCACCCCCTCCAGTTTGGTTTCGTATGGACAGAATATAAAACATGCATGATTAAGCAGACTTTTCCTCTTACCTCGCAGCATTTATCTTTAGGCATTTGTCCATTCTGTGCGTACCCCACATCCATGCTGTTATTTCACTCGCCATACAGGTGGTGATATCAAGCAGAAGTGACAAATATTCAGGCTTCCCACGTTCTGATGTGAGGCTTTTTCTGCCTTTTGTGTCATAACAGGTAAATGTAGTGAAGGTGTTGCGCTCTGGATTGTTTTTTATTAGGCTGACAACAACTTGCTGGTAGCAGGATCAGTCAATATCCCTCTGCCACCACAGGACTCATTTAAGACTTTGATGTATCGCATTGTTTTTTGTGAAATTTAATCACATATTTAATTTGAGTGATACAAAAAAAAAGAAAAGCTTCTAGAAAATCACAAGCATATTAGAAGAATAAAGATACTGAGTATATAGCTAGTGCAATAGGTGGAACTCATGTTGTGCCATTTACTATCAGCGGTCTAAAAAAAGATACCTCTGGATCTGAGAAGTATTAATGGGCATTTTTTTCAAATGTTTGTTTAAAATAACAGATTGCATAGGAGCATAGAATCGCATAGATCAGAGGTCAGAAAACTTAATACATAAATTATGACCATGGTATGAAATGGTTATCTCTGTAGATGTTAACTTGTTTACTATTTTACACAAGCGGTAGATAAAAATATGAGTAGGCTCTGGGAATAAAAGATAATACCTTTATGTACTCTGTACATTCCTAAAAGTCACATTCAAATAAAAAAGATTTTTCTGTGCAAATCATCAGCCCTGAGGGACAGTTTATATAAGCTTATTATAGTGTAACAGTAAGTTACTTTCAAAGGTGTTAGTGTTGTGGTTTGCATGGATTCTTAAATCCATTAAAAGCATGTGCAAGTTGCAGGGTCCATTTTGAGAGGGAGTTGTGCAATTTTCCTCATAGAATAGATGTTTTTTCACTGTCATATTGATCAATTATCACCACAGTCTCCGAGACATCCAGGAGGAATAATTTTGAGGTTGTGAATAATTTTTCTGGCCCCGTGGTCACATTAAGTAAATGTAGCTGCAGGAGACAGACAGTAAAGTAGATCTGCCACAAGCTGATGTTCTATAACTCCATCATCTTGAATATGAGTGATATTTTAATGTAATTTTTACAAGTAGGAATAAAACTAAAAGCATTTTGACCTGAAAGCTTCATCCAGTGATTCAGATGTCTTCATTTTTTGACAGTATCAGCGCGAGACAGAGGACTTGTAGTCCTAATCACTTTCCAATTAATCTCACTCCTCTACCCATCAGATGTAGCTGTTGGAAATCCACGTGAGAGATTTGACTTGTGCTTTAACAGGCTTTTGTGTTGTGGAAAGCCAACGTTTCATCTTGCTGCCGCTGTTTTTCAGAAGGGCATTTACCACAGAAATTCACCACTTATGGCTTGTCGTTGAAACAAACTTAAATGGGTTTATTTTGCAATGACTGTTGTGTTGTCATGGTTTCACATCCATTAGCAGAATAGCTGGAGATTTGTTTGACATAAAGCTGAGGTAAAAGCACTCAATGTTTGTCTCCTATAAGATGGCACTGGCATTTTCTCCTCCGAAGTGTCTGTCTGTCAGCGGAGTGGTTGCTCTGAAACTTGTCAAGCAATTTAGTGGCCTTAAAGTTCATCCCTGCAGCTGACAAAACGACAGCGCTCCCTTGGGTTTCTGAAGTTTGGAAGAGGCGCCACAACACACAGTACATCTAATCCTTTTGTGAAAGTTTGCACTCAAAACACACACTTTTTCGTTCTATTTTTTTCTTTTTTCTTATCACTCATTCTCTGTCTGTGCTGCCACCACCTACTTTTAAATGCTGGACACTTGCATCTTATTCCCATATCTGCTTGAACCGCCTCAATGTGCTCCTGCAAGGGCTAAGACAAAAGAATCCTGCAGGGAGGATTTTTCTTTCTGCAATCATGGACATAAAACAAATGATATTTTCTGAATAAATAAACACAAGCTGGATTTTGAAGAATCCTGAAGATGTCATTAGAGAGCGCAAACACGTCTTTCTCTTTTAGCCCAGAACTGTTCAGGACTGCGGACGTGCTCCCAGTGTTTGGATCAGCCTGAGTGTGGCTGGTGTGGAGATCCAAGCAGCACGGGAAAGGGCCTGTGCATGGAGGGTTCTTACCGGGGGCCAATGAAGAGGCTGGCTAAACAGGGTCAGCAGACCCCGTCCCATGACATGAGCCTGGAGCCAGGCATCTGCCCGAAAGACAAAGGCTTCGAGTGGGCCTTCATCCACTGTCCTGGTGAGTGATGGACTTCCTGGCCATCTTACTGAAATTACAGATCATGTGTCTTAAGTGTATCTATGTGGGAGGTTGCTGTTGGTTATTGACCTCTGAAGTTTCGAAAGATGTTCTTTTCCTGGATTCCTGTTTCAGCTTCCCAGTGAATCTAATCCCTCCCTGAGGACTCCCTGCAACCTTATTCTAGTTCACCATTTAGAGCTCTTATCGGTCCACACAGCCACGCTGCACACATGTTTTCTCATTTCCAGTTGTAATGTGATGAGTATTTAGTGTTTCACTGGTAGGGATTAATTGAAAGACAGAAAAAATGTTTGGTAGTTGTAAATCTGTATTTTCATTTTAGATGTAGAGCTTTGCATGCAAACAAAAAGCAGTCGGAGTGGGATTTTTAAGAGATGGGATATTATAACAATTGTTAAAGGGCCTATGGACATAGCTTACTTCAGTGGGAAAAATCAATATAAACTATACTAATTTCTATACCACTAATTTGCAAATGTTTTTTCATTTGGAGATTTAATTCGGGCTAATTAAAAGTTGTTGCCGTAAAATGAATTTAAAAGGCCAGCCTGATTAAGCAATAATTGATATGACATGGCAGACACAAGCTGCTGGCAGCTCTAATGCGTCTCTTCCAGGAAGCAACAACAAGAACTGTAGGTGTAAAATCACGAGAAGTACTTTAATGATACTCAGACAGGCACAATGCAAAGCATTCAAATGAATCCTCCGTCATTTTAATCTTTTTCACTCAATGTCACATCCCCTTTTTTTTGGGCAGAATTAACGCTCAAATTTGCAGTTGCCTTAATCCCTGACCCCTCTGTTTCTTTTCCAGCCTGCCAGTGTAACGGCCACAGCACATGTGTGAACAGCAGTGTGTGCGAGCAGTGCCACAACCTTACCACTGGTCTGCACTGTGAGACCTGCATGCCTGGTTACCATGGAGACCCAACAAATGGTGGCAAATGCCAGGGTGAGTGCCGCATCACTACGGGCATTGGTTGTTCTGCATATGTAAGCCTTAATGGATGCTCTCGCTGTTATGGCGAGGCAGTCAACAGATGAAGGTTAACCCTTTAGCCCTGCCACCTCTTCCGCGTCAACATTATTTGCTTTCAGTGCCAGAGGTCAGCGTTAGTCAGTTTAAATGCTGTTGGGGCGGATTACCATCTCTCCTCTTTTTTAATTTTTTGGGGGTAAATGTTGAAGCTTTCAGATGGATGCGATCTACCTCCTGAATACTAAGCAGTATATTCCACAATAATTACACTGTGGTGCAGGATCATAACCCAAAGGGGGGACTGGTTTAAACCAAACATTTGACATTTTGACTGCTCTGCCCAATTTGAGACTTGGTCTTTAAAGTGTTTAAACAAAAACAGTTATTAGTGGGTGTGAGTCTGTCGCTTGCAATACCCCTCAAAGGAAAGGGACACTGTATCTAGAGTGTACAACTTTGGAAACTGCTAGTGCACCCATGAGGTTAAGCCTTGTTGGAAAAAGTAATAAGCATGCATCTACTTTGCCCCTGTCCAAGATGAAAAGAAAAAGATAATTTTCTTCTTCCAAGGGAACTCTAAATACATTCAACTCAGTATCCTTACTATTTCGCATATTTCCAGGGATTCACTCACTTTTTGTGGCTTTAAATCTAACTTCTTATTGTGGTCTGAATTGGACAAGCTAAGGCCTTTATTTTCCATATTCTCTGTGTCTTGCCCAAAGCTGAATACATTTTTTCAAGCGAGTGCAACTCCTAATTTATTCAGAATTCCAGTTTTCAAAGGACAAAAGTGTTAACATCTGCTGAATACAACATATAAAATGGTTACGAGCACAGCAGAAGAGAAGGTATTCAATCCAACACAACGTGATAGCATTAGTATATTTTTTTTAATGAATTTATTTTGTATTTTTTAAAGAAAAACAAAAAAAACATACAACCAGCTGCTATGTCTGTACAAAAGAAACAGTTTCTTATGGGCAATCGTTGGTATCTGATGACTGTCTTAATGTCTTTCTGTTCAGTGAATTTTCTGGCTGACTGAAGGCAGGTTATTCAGGTCCTCTTTGGGAGATTTACCTGCTGTCCTCCCTTATGAAACATGAATAGCATTCCTGAGAAATTACATCTAGGTAGTGTCTGAATGGCAAGAAATCGGAGTTACTCACACTCAGACCCATGCAGATGTGGTAGCTCTTTGTTTTCAGACACCAATTGTTAATACATGGGCTATAGTTCTGAGCTGTAAAGTGAAACTAAGCACCTATGAGTATGCTCTGTCTTTCATAGCCTGGGGACAGGAATCATTATGTGTCATTACAACATGTGAATGCATCCATAATTTCTTTTGCTACAGAGGCATAACCTCTGATATATATTTTTTTACGTTAAGCAGCTACACAGTAATATGAAATTTCCACACCAGCAGTTGTCTTTAGCAACATGAAAACTTGCCTACAGCATTGATATCACCTAAAAATTTCATAAGCCCAATCCTGGAATATGAGATGGAGGGTGTGCTAGAAGTAGCACTTGTCCTTCAGGAAATTATGTTTTCAACATATACAGCTAAAAAGCGAACACAGCAGATGCATTTCAGCAGCCTTTACACACATCTATTCCGGTACATTTCGCTCACACATACCTGGCGGTTGTCGTAGCCTTCTGTCTGAAAGTGGGAGGGATGGAATTAGATCTTTGAAGTTCAGCCAATCTTTTGGGAAATGTAGTTGTTTGACCATCTCATACAGATCAATATCAATTTTCTCTGTATGTGCTTGGCGCAGAAAGGGGATCTTTGTGGCCTAGCGTAGCACCAATGCTACAAGCAGCGGGAAACTGCCACCCAGCTGCTGATAAGAGTGGAAGGGGGGGATTGTTAGGGCACATTTGATGGGAATTGCACCTTTTTTATGCGCCCTCAGGTGGTCTTCAACTCAAATGTTTAAACTGTGGTTTGTAATGAATCACTGCTCATGTACTAGTCTTTTGGACCATAAGTCATTCTAATCAACAATACCTCTGTACCTGAGTTCTCAGCTTTGCTAGCCCTTCTCCTACCAATCTTCTCTCCATCTGTGCTTGTGTCCTGTTCCAGCTTGTAAGTGCAATGGTCACGCAAATGTGTGCCAGGTGTTAACTGGCAAATGCTTCTGCACCACCAAGGGGATCAAAGGAGACCAATGCCAGCTGTGAGTATATTTGCAGCATGCTCGCACTCACACAACCTGAAATAAGGACAAACAAATCAGATGCTGCAGTCTTGCAATTTTTAAATTTTTTTTTATTGCATCCATTCTAAACATACTCTTTAGATTTAACAAAAACATGTAATGTTATCTTTTCATTGGCCTCGTGTTATTACAATTCAGTGAAGGAAAAAATAATTGTCTGTTCATTGAGCTCACCGTTGGCTATTTACCTTCCATTAACCTGGCACATCATAATTGTTCCTCTTTGCAGTTCAATAACTTTGGAAGCTGTTGATTCCCACATCTTGCTCTCTGACTCACTTTTTCCAATTATCATATAATTTATTAGCTCTCTGTTTGCTGCAAAACTCAGATTTGAAAAACAGGAAAGAATTAAATAAATAGATTTGCAGACAGTGTTCCCACAGAAATTTGTGACTTAGCATTTTGTCAGTTAGCAGAGAGTCTGTGGGCAATTCATCACTGGATCAGTCATCACTCATAACCAAGGAAGGCCAGAGGCTCTTCAGACCTCTTACAGAAACATGTAGGAAGCTGTTTTTTACTTTGGATATTTGACCAAAAAGCAGATTATTTTTCATACAAGTCCAGGATAGTTATGGTTTCCATTCTGTGGAAACAGAGCTGCTGTCACAATGTGAATTAATTATGTTTAATCTATTTAATAAGCGCCTACATTTTTTTCACTACCTTTTGACGCTGTGAGTATATTGGGATTTGCTTTTCTGAGGAGATCAATAGATCTGATCTATACATTTTTCTGTTATGTAAAAGCAGCTTATAAAGTTACTACCAGGAGGAAACAGTCAGAAAAACGTGACTATATATCAGATGGATATAGAACAGATTTTCATTGACACAGTGTGGCTTCCACCGGTCTGGTTATAATGATGTGATGTGGTAGATGATGATTCATATATTATAGTGGTTCCTGATTTTTATGGAGCGGGTCAGATATGTTGTCATGTGGAGCCTTGGGTGTGCTGCGGATGATGATGCCGATGATAAGAGAAGAGAAGGGTCAGCGGGCAGTATCAACTGTAAAAGCTAACTTTGGGCTGATTTCTGCTGACACAATGGAATCCAGGGGTGTGGGAGGGCCATTTTCTTTCAGCTGTCTCTTTCCTCCATTATAACCAGAGTGGACACACTTTTTAATACCAGTAATGCGGGAAGAGTAATGGAGAGGGTCACCAGCAGCGTTAAACGCGCATCCCTACACCCACACACAATGCAGTGGCTATCTCCTCCTATCATTTTTCTCCCTACAGAATCATCAAAACACTTTGTGCTCAGAATAAAACCACTCATTCACTCCCTGCATATTCTAGCTTTAGTATATTTGGATATTCTAGCTTTTGTATCTCTGGATGTTTAACTTAAACACATCCCTCACATGATAGATTAATTCTAATTCTTAAGATTTAATAACATTTTCCATTTAATACGATTTCACCTGAAGCTGATTCAGTTCAGACATCTTCTCACGGTAGATTAGAAGATGGCTTCTGTCATCTTTTGGATCAGACATAATTGTGATGCCCTTAAAGAGTCTATGGTTTCCTTTAATGTCATCTTCCTTTAGTTTTATTTATTTTTTCAGTCTTTTTTGTTATATAATGCCATTTGTGTGATTCCTCAAGAACAGAGTAGAATAAGCAGTGGTGTTGCTCTCTGTCACTGTTGATTCATCGGTGAACAGGCTTTCTGGAGGTAGACTTTAGGGAGACATGAGCCCTAACAGAGCTCTCCAGTCAGAATGTAATCGATGGCTGTATTTGTCTACAGCATAAAGAGAAAGATGATTGAGTTGGGGTGTTTGAAAATGAACTTATTTAAAGCCGTTCTGTTAGACGTCCAAACAGAAAATAGAAAGTATTAAATAGTTATTGTTATTTAGATAGGCTTAAAATAGTATCTGCATGTATTCCCACAACAAATATATGAAAAAACATTCAAAGTGTGCATTATAGGGTAAAGAACACAGGATTGTAACCCAAATAAAGGAAAAAGAGACAGAAAGGTAAGTGAGTTTAGAACAAGATCTCAGTAAATCCCCTGTGTTTTTCTGTCAACCGTGAGAGTAAACATTTTACACTTTACACAACTGACAAAATGTCACATCGATTTCTGCTCCAGATGGAATGCGGCGCAGCACAGTGTTGATCAGTTTGGGTTAAGCAAGTTCCCCCAGTTGATATTCACACTTAATTTCCTACTTAATAGAAACGGAGGAAAGTTTCAAAACAGGTTATCTTTTACAGGCTGCAATCATTGGCGCTGGCGTTATGGGAAATGGTGTGTCATCTTTTCTCTTAAAAAGATGATTCTTTTTTTTAACATTTATATGAAATCTTTTGAGAAAGTTTTCTATGAACTTTGGACATTAGATGTTTGTTGTTTATATGTCCTTGTCCTTTCTTAATACAATGGTTTTCACATTTGATGACTGCCTTCACCTCAACACAAGGTTACTCTGCAGACAACTACACTCATGCTAACATTTACAGGCTGTTACGGCACAGCCACCGATGCCATTAGGACCTCGCAGAAATAGTTGCACTAATAATATCAGGGGTGCATTGGTGCAGAATAATAATTGTTCAGAGAAAAACAACTTTGCTGCGGTCGGTCAGACATGAAAAGCGATGGAAGCATTTCTTCTTCGGTGCTCAGTTGGATGTGTATGTCAGTCAGGAAATGTCCTGTGCAGCAGGTGACGGGGTGGGAGGCAGTTCCCGATCCAAAGTGGGCTCACTGCACCGCTCCTAGTTTGCTGAGTGTTTATAGGAAGTGCATCAGCACAGGTTCAAGCTGAGTGTAGATCAAATTAAGATACAATGAATGGGGATTGCCTGAGGGTTAGATGTGTGCCTGGATGCTTGAATGTGTAGATTACATTAAGATACGGCGCATGAGGAGCAGTATTATACAGATCAGCGTACAGGTACGTTTGTTTTGCACACTCTAAATGCCAGGTTGTTGAAAATACTCCACGAGTAATGCCTCTGGTGGTATTCGTCCTCTGTCTTCTGTCTTCTGTAGCATGCCCCACCCCCCCGTCCTTGCTCGTTCAAAACAATGGCAAGGGCAGAGTTTGTCCGACACCTGCTTTCTGTCTACACCCCATTACCCCAACCCAGTGTTCTTAAGGATTTGTTGGTTAGATAAGTATGATAATATCCATCTTGATTTGGTCACTTGGTATTTCTAATGTAATCCACCACTTTGTGTCCCTATAAGGCCTCCATAAAGTACGTAACATTAGGAAAACCACTAATATGGCTGTGGGATGAGTAAACCCATTTGGTCATGGTTTGGCTCTTCTTTTTGCCAAATTTTGATGGTTTTGGCTGTAGAGATGTGAATCTGTTAGGTGCACGCTGGCTGTATTACCTCCGCCCTCAAGGGGCCGAATTATGACAGCAACCCATCCTGATTTATTTTTAGAGTTGGAGTCACCCCCTGTCTGATCTTACATCACTAACAGCCACCTCCTCCTCAGTGACGTTCGTGTCTCTCTGTCTACCTCCTCCCCCTTTCACTGTTCTTGCCGACTTATCAACCGTACCTCTGATATTCACATTCTAACAAGTTTAATTGCTTGTCTGAAAGATAAAACAACTGTGAAACACAATTAGAGCGATAATAAATGTCTAAGTTTGAATTGCATTGACATTTTTCACTTTCTTTGAACATTCCAGTGCATGTGTGATATTACTCACCCAATTTATCAAGTTTAGAAACTGTGGAGTGATGACAGTGCAGCTCAGAGTGAATTGTTGACATTTTACTGCATCAAACTTTAAAAGACAAAATGTTAGGGGGTAAATTTAAAAAGGATTGAAAAAAGAATGTAGTCTAGCTGCAACATAACATAATGTAATGAACTCTTAAAAACAAACCAATGGCCTGATAAACAGAACAGTCTATGGAACTCTGCGCTAATTATTCCTCCTGGCTTTGTCAAACTGCAGTTGTTTAGGCAGGCCCCATCATCTTTGAAGACGTGATAAACAAATCATTCTTCTGTTTAATGAATGAACCTGAAAAAACTGGTTTAAAGCTCTCATTTAAAAAATATCGTCATGTAGCTGCGTCTGTTCCAGGGACTTGAGTTCCTCTCTCTGGGTGTTACACAAGTTGTTGATACTCACAGAAAGCGACAGTTAGTGGCAGCCAAGTCCAGATTATTTTTTCCGCAACAGTTTCTCTGCTTTTTTGGCAACTTTTACAGAAAATAATTTCAGTGTCCGGTTGATTTATTCAAAACATAAACACTGCTTTAATGTTTTTGGAATATGTTACGCATATGAAACACATCTTTGATTATAAAATCTGCCATTTAAGATATTAAAGACGAGATGTATGTAAAGGTGGAATTGCACAGGCTTTGAACTTTTCATTCCAAACCAACAAGCTGAACTTCACTTAAAAATGACCCCTTCACTAAAACGATCTAGTAAAAATGCTCTTGTGGAAAACTGCTTTCTGATGCATGTTCTTTTCTGTGAGTTGTGTGATTCAGGTGTGCTGCTTTAACCAAAATTTTAAGAAAAGTGAGGGAATTTTCATGCTGCTTGCTCTTTGCCAGAAGTCTTGATGAAGCTGGCACTTGGCATATACAGCACCTGAGGAGAGGCATTTTTGCTCTGTCTGTTTGTGCTCACCCTCATTCTTGTTCTCTCTCCTCTCTGTTTTTCTTCACTGCAGATGTGACTCAGAAAACCGTTACCTTGGCAATCCACTCAGAGGAACCTGTTACTGTGAGTAATTCTCCACTGGACAGCTCCTTTCTGAAGCGACAGCTCATATGCGCTCACACGAACGCCTCCTTGATTATTATTGGCTATTTGCTGTCTGTTTTTCTATCTCTTTCCACTCAACTTGCACATTTCTGCTTGGGGCAGATGGAGCATCTTAGCACTTTGGCACCAGGGGCGCTCGTTCTGTGACAGAATGACTTGTCGTGAAAATGTCAAGTGCATCAGAGGGAGTGAGTGATTGAGCTAATCAAAGAGACGGAGGAGTAAAAAATTCTCCTCTTGTCAACTCACTCAATCATGCACATACTCATTAATCCATTTAGAAAGTTGGCTAAAACGATAGCGTGACTTATAGGCAAAAGGGAAATCTATCCAGGTTCGGCTTAAAAGACTACACATAAAGCTGGCAGAGTGCTGTTTGCTCAGCATACTGTACACCCTGATGTTTGTTTATTTGCATGATGTGCTGTCCTTCACGGTGCTGCAGTACTTAGTGATTTTTTTATCCGCCTCTCAGTTCTCTGCTACTGACAACACAGCCACTGCCAAGGTTTTGTCCCTTCTGATATGCCACTGCCTGACAACAGGCTCCGTGAGAGGAACACGGGGAATCCAGAAGCCTGGAGCTTGTTTTAACCTCTGGACACCACTAGCACCTTGTTTTGGCACATGTCTTTTTTTGTGTAATTTATATTTTTATTTAGAAAGACAAATTTCCATCCCATTCGTTGATTACAGCTTTTCCCATTTAAGATCGTACATGAGTATACTACCGGAATGTTTAAATGAATTTTTCCATACTGTCTTTCTAGTATTTTTACAGACTATTTCTAAATTTTAATTGTAAACAATAACAAAAATGAACAGAATTGAACAATAATGGGGATTGCACCATCTCAAGCAATAAAAAAACAACAACACAGGAACATACAAGGGGGGGGCACATACTTCTCAAGAACAGTCAAATGAAGTCAGATCTAGTCGGTTTTACATACTCGGTCCATTTGGTCCAGATCTTATAAAACTTTCCCTTTTCAACTTGGAGGGAAAAAGAAATCTTTTCCATAACATAAATCTGGTGAACAATTTCAATCCATTCATCGATAGTGGGTGGGTCTGGTTTTAGCCATTTCCTTGTGATGGCTTTCTTACTGGCTGCCAGTAGTATTGCCAGGAGTTTTTTGTCTGCATTTGTCCATGTGTCCAAATGTAAGTTACCCAAGTACAAAGTTTCACATTTGAATGGAATCTTTACATTAAATACATTTTCAATATGTTTGTGGAACTCTTCCCAGTATGGTGTTATTACTTGGCACTCCCAAAAAACATGGAAGTGGTTGGCTCCCTTAGACCCACAGAGCCTCCAGCAGGCGTCATCGTTGTTTTGATATCGTCTCTGAATGGGTGTAACAAAAAATCGTGCAACATTTTTCCAACAAAACTCCCGCCATGTGTTCGATCCAGTTGAGACCCACTGCAGTTGACATATTTCTTCCCAGCCTTCTTGTGAGATTTTAACCTTAATTTCCTTTTCCCATTTCCTCTTTATGTATTCTGTATTCTCATGTTTAGACAGCTGTATGGCATTATATAACTTAGAGATAATTCTACTGTCTGAACTGGGTTTAATTAGTGATAAAAATGTCTCCATGAAACTTGAATCACTCTTTCTCAGCCCCTCTTTAAAATTTCTATTAAAATAATGTCTCACCTGCAGGTACCTAAAAAAATCCTCTTTCTCCAGTCCATGATCCTTCTGTAGGGTTTCAAAACTCTGAAATATCCCTTTATGGACAAATGAATAATAGGTAGTTAATCCTTTTGAGATCCATAACTTAAATCTATTATCAATCTTATTAGGTGCAAAATCTGAATCGTAGGCACACCACCTCATAATTTTAGATGTTTTTCCTATTCTGCAGATTTTAGCCAATTCCTGCCAGGACCTGAGAGAACTACCTGTAATGGAGTCTTCTGGAATCTGCTGTTCCTCTTGTAATTTATGATCACCGAGTAGGGCTGTTATTGGGATTCCTTTTATTGTTGTGCTTTCTATTTCCTTCCATGCTGCGGTGTATGATGATGAGCACAGGCAGACTAAAGATCTCAGCTGGGCTGCGTGGTAGTAATCCTGCAAACAGGGAAGGCCCATTCCACCCTTTTCTTTTTTTAGTTTTGGCACATGTCTTGATGGAAACAGGAAGCAGAAAAGAACCAGCAAAGATATGATAGACGATCAATAAATGTCTGTAGAATTGATCCTCGCTTTGCATTCAGTCCACAGGTTGTGCTTGCAGGCACAAAGTTCAGCATATGCATGTGAAGGTCAAGAGATCTGCTGCACTGTAAAAATGATGCTCAGTGTTGTCTAAGGGGCCGTTAAGCATTGCTTCACCGGTAGTTTTATCCTGTTTTTTCCTGTGAAAACAAGAAGTGTTACACACAAGGAAAGAAATCCACAAGCCACTTCTCTACTGTATAGTTATTTGATACTTCTGCCACCACATTACCATCTGTTGGTGTCTATAAAGCCTCAGCTGGCAGCAAAGTTAGTCCCTGTACTTTCAGGAAACCGCTGTATGCTTCAAGGTAGAGACAGATGTCTGTTTCTACATCCTCATTCGTCCATGAAGGTTAATATCCAAATGGAAAGTAAATGTAAACAAAAATGGAGTGGAAAAACATCTATGCTAATTTTGAATAGAAACCTTGTTGGAAAGTCTCTGTCATCCAAACTTTTACTTTACAGTATTCTGTAGACTGATTTAATGTCCATCGATGAGAACCTTTATGTACGTCGGGTCCAAATGGCAGTATGTGTTGAGCCAAAACTATGAAATTAAGGAAAAGATTTAATGCATTTTTTCATTGTCTTATTTTCTTGATAGATAATCTTCTGATTGACTACCAGTTCACGTTTAGCCTAATTCAAGAAGATGATAATCACTACACCGCCATTAACTTCATGGCCTCTCCCGAGCAGGTAAATCCCGAGAGAAGACAACTCACACATGTAGGCCGCATGTCTGCTGTCACTTTTGGAACTGAAGTGCTCCTTTGAATTTTCTTATATTTAATAATCATTTTCAGAGATTGGTAGTTCTGTTTGATTGGCATAAAGTTAAACTTTATAGAATTAAACTTTGCACAGTGATTTTTATGTCCAATATGTTTCCTTCTTGTTTTTTTTTTTTAAAGGCGAACAAGAACTTGGACATGTCCATCAATGCATCAAACAACTTTAACCTCAACATCACTTGGTCGGTTGGATCCACAGGTAGAAGTTGGAATATTTTCGTAATTAAGTCTCTGCTTGTGTAGTTTTGCACTGATCCCAATCAAATCTGTGCTAATTGTAGCATCAGCCCACTTAAAGTAAATTTTGTGGGAGACAAAATATCTTCTCCCCCACTCCAGACTTTACCCTTTTAAGACTTTCCATATAATTTGCTGAAGCTCTTAAGGCTGAAGTCACAAAAGTAATTTTGGGTTCTGGTAAAAAGATATTAGTGGTATAAAACTAAATTCATGTTGTTGCTCAGTCTCAGGCTGGCTGGATGTTCCCTCTGCCTTTTGTTCAGCTCACTGTAATTAAATAAATAAATGAATAAATAAAATTCACAATTTACAGTAAAATATGAAACAATTTAAACATTATTAAATTAAAGTGGAACAGAATAAGAAAATATGGTGGTGTTAATGTTATTAATAGCCCCTTTGTATTAAGTTTGAATGTGGAAGATTGTCCTGGTTTCCCTTTAGCTGAAGTACTTAGTCAGTTTGTATAAAACATCAAACATTACCGATAATCCGTTGTCTCCTCTTAGTGATGTGGGTTACTGTTGAGCAGATATTATTGGCCCTCTGAGTAAAGGCACCCAAGGACACTGCAGTCGTCAAGTCCCTAACATTTATTTGCCACCCTCTTTCCTCTCGAGTGGTTCTGGCATCCTCTCCATCCTCACAACACAGGCATTTTTTAAGCCACTGAAACAATTTAACCCCCTCGGCTCCTCTCCTCCACTTTAACCTTTGTGGAGCGCAGTCATTAATATTTGAAGTCGGGTCCCCTTTCCCCCACACAGATATTGTGTCTCAGAAGGAATAGGAGCCTCTTCACAATCGACAAGAGCATGAAGCGCCTTTAGGGAGGGGGAAGAGGGAGGGGGGTGATTTCAATTAAGATAAACCTGCTCACGTAGCTGCGCTCAAGCTGTCATTTTCACTGCTTTTGTTTCAGAGCTGTGGGTTGGAATGTCAATGATGAGGACCCACTGACATGAAGAAGAATGAGAAATGACTCATAACATTAAGAATAAAAAGGAAGGGAAAAGATTTTTGGTTTCAACCTAGGTGTTAAAAACGGTGAACATTTTAACGCTCACCCAAAAAACAGAGACCCACCCAATACCCAATATTTTTTTGATGAATGGTGGGCAGACTGTGCGTCGTGCCTGAGGTAATTAAATCTAAAATTGTAGCATATAAACATGCATTAGATGGTGTTGATGATCTTTCACCATGTCATTGCAGTCTGCAGCATGTCAGTCCCTTTTTACAGCCCAGTTTTTCTCCCATGTCCATTTAGAAATGGTCAGTTCGTCATGTGCAATTATGCAATAAAGCCTCACACTGTTTTAGGTTAACAGAAAAGAAGTTAAATGCAGATAAGAAATGTTAATAATTGCACTTGAGTGCTTTCCTGTTGTTCAGAGTGGTTAAATAAATCCATTAGTGCATTTGTAATAATATGGTGTGGCTGAACCAGCTCCATCACCATGGTTACCCATTCTGAGGTCCAAATGGCATTGTGCTGAAAATGAACTCTTTATCCCAACAGCTGGAACCATCTCTGGTGAGGAGACGCCCATTGTGTCCAAAACAAACATCAAGGAATACAGGGACAGTTTTTCCTGTGAAAAGTTCAACTTTAGAAGCAACCCCAACATCACTTTTTATGTGTACGTCAGTAACTTCTCATGGCCCATCAAGATCCAGGTAAGACTTTCTCAAGGCCTTAAAAAAAAGATCAAATTGAAAGATTTCACATAAGTGTCCACGCAGATTAAGAAAATGCTGCCACCCTGATTAGAGAGGTACTCGTAGTCATTAGTAATGCTTTTTTAGGCAGAATTAAGGTCTGCTTTGGCAGGATAAACATTTCTTATGACGACAGCATCAGGTTGTAAAAGTTCAAACAAAAATCAACTCTAAGAAGCTTGGATTGGAATTTACAAATGGAAAAAAGGCAAAGCTTCATCATGCTCGATTAGGTTGCTCCGAGAACAAGCTTTTCACTGTTTTTGAGATGACTAAAGACCCAAGTTCATTTTGAAGCAATTAAAGACAACACTTAAATTAGCTGAAAATAGAAAGGTAACCACCAAGCTGTAAAAGCAAATAGCTTCTGTAGCAGTATAAGGTCTCACTTGATGCAGGGTGGAAACCTGAACGAGATTAGGTAGAATTTGAGAATACACTCATGAGCCTCCACATTTAAGATTCAAGCTCATGAAATAAGCCTTTAAATGTGAATTAAGATGGCAAAGAGCCATCTTGAGGTGAAATCTTTGTGTGACATCATCATTTGTCAGTATAATTGCAATCCAAGGGACTTTTCTGGGCCATGGCAGTCTACTTGTAACAGAAGAATGCTCTCAAATGATGCCATTGATTGGTCGTGATGAAGGAATTGAAATTAAATTAACCCTGCACATATTGCTTTGAGCTCATACCATGTGAAAAGCTGGTTGTAATCGCAAAATAGAAGTGTCCCGTTTAATAAAGAGCCTGCAAAGCATTTGCTCTTTTGTGGCTTGTTAGCCATGTCAGTGAGCATCTCATTTCAGATCAGTGATTCTCATTTTCTTGTTAATAAGGTTGATGAAAAGTCAAAGGTGGCAGAAGTTTGGGAGGGTAATGGGGTTGTCAATGAAGGACATCAGCACAGTGAGGAGTTTCATCCTAAACATGCACACCTCTCTTTTCCTGTTGCTGATAAAACCAGAGATGTAGTTTTCTTGAGTCTCTCTGGAATTCAAAGAGTAAGATTTAAACATTTTAAATCACTGCCTTGCTTCCCCCTCAACAAACTACAATCGCCTGTATTTCTGCTTTTTGGCTCTTCTAAAACATCTGATTAATTCACTTTATAAATTCAGCATTTAGAGAAACTAATATGCCACAAATAATCCACCTCTAAAAGCCCAATTTTTGCTCCGTTAGTCAGCTCTGCGCGTTGCCAGCCGGAGAGTGGCTCAATGCAGCGGCATACGTTGTGTTTGTGAGTCTAAATGCTTTCAGGGCAGAATGGCTTCAAAGCATCTATAGCAGATAATGACTTGTCACTGTGATGTAGCCCATCATACGTAATTAAGCTGCCAGGCCTGTGTAGTCTCTTCTTTAATGAAGATTAAATATATTTCTGACCCATTATTCAGTGGCCATGTTGCCTTTTTCAGCACGGATTCACAAAACGGCGAGATGAAATAAAAAGGGATTTACTCTTGCCTGTATTAGGTTAGTGTGCGTTGGGGTGAAGTCGCATGTAGATCTGGTAAAATGATTGTGTAAGATGAGTGCAAATGAAATAGTCAAGAATCTTTTACAGGCAGCAGGCGCCTGCAGTTTGGCTTACATGGACATCACCAAAAGGCTGTTTGTTCTCTTTTTGTCATTCCCTGTCTGGCATTTACAGCAGCTTGTCTTCAGTTTGTTGTTCGTGGTGTGTCTTTCTGAATGGGCCACTGCAGACCATTCCACTGGGTTGTTGTTCATTTTGGCTGCGCAGCGCCATCCATCGAGTGTGTATCAATCTGTTTTTTTTCAAGAGGTTTCGTAAAGTCTGATTGCTCCAGTGTGTGCTACTTGTTTTTGCATTTGCTCATTTGAAATCTTCTGTTTGCAGTAGACTTGGATAATGATATGTCTTCCCCCTGGAGTGTCCTCCACTCAACTTGATGCTTTAAATGGAGTTTTCTGTGTCCCATAAAGGGTCCTGTAATCATCCAGTGCTGCCACCCTCTATTGACATCAGAACCCTTTTTTGAGTTTGCTTTTTTTTGTATTTATTTAATTTTTGGCTCTTTCTCAGAATATACCAAACTATTTACATTGGTGCAGGCACTCCCAGTGTCTTAATGTTTTCGCTGTATTTACAGTCCCAACAGTTGACCTTTGACCTGTTATTGGATGAGAAATGGTCTCACAGTAAACACATGTCCATTTCAGAGCTAATATTTAATGATGTTTTTGGCAACTGCCTGCAATAACAAAATATATCATTGTGCCCAGATAGATCCAGATCAGGCTATTGACCAGTTTGAGTTTATCAGGATAGTGGAAGGTCACCCTATTCCTTCACTCCACATCCGTACAGTTGATCAGATGAATTCTGTTGTCTCCTGCCAGAAACTTGTGCCTTGCTCTTGTCTCGTTCCAAATCATTCAAACAGACATTTTTTCACAGACAGTTTTAGTAGCGGGGCCTCCAGTGAGTCAGTGACCTTTTAACGGCTCCCTTTTCGTTCTTAATGCCGACTTGAACCGTGTACGCCATATCGTATTAACCCCTTTACAATGTCACGTATCAACCGGGAGAGTTCACTCAGACTTCACAGCACGTTATCCAAGGGCTGGTCGAGTGCCCTTCCAGAATCCTTGAATTAAAAACAAAGAGAACCTTGAATCTTCAAAACCTTTTCATGTTGGGCTTTTTAAAAAAAATCAAAGTGTAGTTTGACCATCAGTGATGACATCAAGCTTAACTCATGTTAACAGATTTCCCCTTTTCCCCTTGACTTGATATAGATCGCCTTCTCGCAACACAACAGCATCATGGACCTCGTCCAGTTTTTCGTTACATTTTTCAGGTAAGTGGTTCAGATATATATATATATATACAACTTCAATCAGTTTTCATCAATAAGGAAACGTCATCCACTCCCACTCTTCCTCACTCTTGTCTATTAGGGCTCATTGAGGTACTCAAGCATGTTTAGAGACTGAGCACATGGAAATGCTTTTTGTCTTTTCAAGGCAATGATTTTTTCCCTACTTTTTCAAGTGGCAAATTAACAAGCGGTAGCAATTTAAATGGATGCATTTTTCCCCATCAAGTGCCATCTAAAGATAAGGCGTGGGTGATACAGATATGAGGGCTCTTAATGATTTTTTTATCCCAAGAGCTGCGGCGGAAGTATCTCATCATTGAAATGTTTTAAATGAGTCAATTGGACTGTTTCAAAAACACATTAAAGCCAGAGTATGTAAAGAGGGCACATGTGTAATTGCAAAATGTATACTTCATAAAGATAGTGGTCTCTAGGAAAAACTGCATAATAGCCCCGAAACTCACTAAAAGGTCTGATTACTGAAGTTATACCTGTGATGTCTTTGATCCCGACAGAAATCAGACCACCTTGGGAACACTAGCTTTAAAACTCAAGGCAGCATAGTTTCTTAATACATGTTTATTTTACTTTAAAGGTGTTTAGCCCACAGTTGTTTGTGTACTGACATAATCTGTGTAGGTGTTAAAGAGGGAATAGAGAACAGGTTTTGCCCAAGGCCCCTGTCCATCACCCCTGCTCCACAATAAGTTTCCAGAAAGGCTGTCACACAATCGGTTATCTCCTGCCTCCAACTGATCATATTACAGACGGAATAGCCAAAATTAGGAATCCTTTGAAGGAAAGAGGAGAAGGGAGACGCTTGTTGTTGTTTTTCATTTGAAATGTGTCAGACAGCTGCTGACATAATTTGCACTGGAAACCAACCATTTATAAAAAATGTGTGTCCAAAATCACGAATACTAACTCTCACTAATCCCTGCTGACTTCTGAATGCCGTTGTTTTCAGAGGGTTACGTAGTGGACTCACCATCATAACGAAAAAATAAACATTGGGCCTGGATGTAGATTCTTTTTCCCTCCTGGTTTTATGCGTTATGTTGCATATATTCTTTCATATGTTACCGGTACCTACACTCTAATCAGTAAGTCCAGAATGCACCCTGTTGTACAACATTGGGTCTGTTTTCTTTGGATTTGTTTAAGTACATGTTTGTACCTTTTTTCATATCATTAGGTCCCAGCTTTACACAAAGCTTTTCTTTTTTGGCCTCCCTAATTTTACGCATCATTTTCCATTAGTATGCCTGTTTATTTTTTTCCCATTACTGGACAGGTTCATCTATTCCTACTTTAAGGCTTTAATTGCGCTAACAAACTGTTGTGTTTGCATGTGCATGTTCGAGGGGAAATTTGTAGAAAAATGAACCTGCAGGAAACATTAGCCTGATGACAAAATGTCAAACTGTCCCACAGGGTCTGTAGACCTCCTTGAATTAGAGAAGGGGGGTGAAGACATGACATCACAGCCCTGGCTGTAACGTTCCCTTCTCTTTAGAATTTATAGAAAATAATTTGACACCCTTTTTTCTTCCGATATTAAAAAATGTTTAAAGAAATATACAGGTATAAAAAAACCCAGCATACCCTCAGATTCTTGTGATTGTTTTTTTTAATCTATAGCAGCTCAGACGACAATTCTATATACATATCGATTGTTTTTCCTGGTGTAACTGTAGCCCTGTGGTTACAGAAAGGACTGTGTAAATGAAACAGCAAAGCCCAGTTCAGCTTCAATTCACTGTGTAATATGTTAAATGTTATAGGACACATAAATAGAAATACCATTAAATAAAATTATAACGAGACTACTCACTATCACAAAACTGAGTGCCTCTGGGGAACTAAAAACGTTCCCAGTCTCTCTCTAATACTCATATCAACAACATATTATCTAATCATATCAAGAAAGATTTTAGTTTTTATTATCTTCTTCACAGCGTAAAGATACAAGAACCTCTTTGGCAGCATTACAGCTGCCAAAAAGTAGAATTAGAAGGGAATGTGATATAGCTTTGGCTTAGCCAAAAGCAAAACGCCAACACGTGAGGCCTTGTGCTGGAGTTGACATATCAAACATATTGGCCCATGATATTGGAGCAGGTTGTGCGTCCCCTGTGGAACACGCTCATTATGTCGGACAGCCCATTACAGGGTTGTGGCATGTCTCTATAGAGAAGAGGCTGCTGCTCATATTGCAGGATTAGTTTCAGTTCCACATGGAGCCATTGTTGTTCTTGGGCCTAAAAAAGAGACTAAGTGTGATATTGTCTTAGAAAAGTTTGAATGAGAGTTAATGGACATTCATACTTTTCCTTTTATATATATATGAATATATATATATGTTTCCTTCTCACTATACTGTATACAGAACAAGTTGATCCCACAACATTTAAATAAGGTCAAGAGAAACAGTCTGTTAAGGTGCTTGTTGATTAAAAGTTAAACTTCTACCCTCTGATAATTTCTTTAAAGTCTGCCCAGTGTCTCTTTACGTAGCACATAATCATCTTTACGTTCTCATCTGTCACAGGGATAATGAAGTAGAAGCTCTCAATCAGTCATATTTCTCTACTTCATTCGTGCTTTGCCTGCTTGCTGGATTTCCCATGAGTAATGATTATGCTTTTGGGTTATTAAGTGAAGTAATCGGCCAAAATATTCAGTCTGCTGAGACGTCAGTAAGAAAATCATCCTCCTTATGTGTTTTAGCATTTAGCAGCTTTGAGGATTAAAGTCCTCTTTCATCCTTCTGTAAAGTCGTGTTGATCTGAAACATATTGTAACTGCCCCTTAAAGTTGTAAGAAAAAGGTGAGCTATACGTGTTCAGCGGTAACTTTGCATAATTCCCAATTCACCAGATGTTGACAGATAGGATTTTCTTTCTTCACAGCTGCTTTTTGTCCCTCCTTCTGGTGGCAGCAGTGGTGTGGAAGATCAAACAGACCTGCTGGGCGTCACGACGCAGAGAGGTAAGTCCCGTAAACGTGAAATGCAGACGAGCACAACATTTCACTGTTGATGCGTGGGACTCTTTCAAGCACTTATATTTTAAAGATTCACAATAAATTAAACCCTGCCTGTTATACCGGTTTTTCTAAACATAAAGTCCAAGTGCTCACATGGTAAGAGTTCAAAAACTTTGGCAGTGTGTACTTTGACACTAAATGCCAATCAGAGCAATGGATGTGCACAAAACTGTGGTCATTGTTTCCATGATGAGAATAGAAAAAACAAATCTTTGTTGCTTTTTTAGTCATATTCTTTCAAAATATAGTGAAAAGAAACAATATGCATCTTATTTTTGCCTGTTTGCCATTTTCTGCCATTTTGGGTCACAGTTTTTTTAATTACTCCTTTTTTCTATAAACTCCTTTATCATGGGATTTTTTAAATTGATATTTTTGGCAGGGCACAGCTAAAGGCCTAGCAGTCATAAATGTTATTTCTGACTATGTATTTCAAGTCGTTGCTTATATTTTTTACACTAACCTCAGCTAGTGGTAAGATTTTTAAAAAGTAGACTGCATCTGTAAAACTCTGGGGGTTTTGTCTTTTGGCATTCCTACATAATCAACCTGAAAGGCAACAGACAATTTTCTCAAGATGTATTTTGTTATGATTGTGTATTAATTTGAAGAAAGTAACGAAAAAATCTTTAACCATTTCTGTGTCCAGAGAAAAAAACATTTGACGAGCGAAAATGATAATATGAATGAATAAGGCGAGGAGATCATTAATATTCATTGATGGAATGAAAGATGGGCCTGAAAAATATCTGAAATAGAATGTGGGAAAAAGATGAGATGATTGGCAGAAAAAAAATGATAAAAGTAGGTCTGAAAAATATAGTGCGGGAAATGGAAGAAGAGAGCAAATGTATGCAAATTCAACTCACTGCTCTTCCCCTAAACTACACTGGATATTTTTGGCATTCTGTAAGCAACTACTATCCCCATCTCTTCAAGCTGAATCTGAAAATCTTCTGTTTGTTGTTTCATATCCGACAGCAGGAAGTTTAATTTGGTCCTTATTTATGACCTGCAGACCTCTAATAAAGCTCTCACTATTCATTTAGCTCGTGAGGGTGACATTTATAATCAAAGGACCAGAATTTCATATCCTCTGATATATGAAAATAAACAAAAATGGCTCTGCATTCTAACTATTAAAATAATTAAAGTCAATAAAAATTAATACAAGCAGATGGGCCCATGGTGCTAACTGCTCTGCATAGCTAAACAGACACCGTCATGTCCTCATTTTGACACAGCAAACAGCAAATATCTGTGAATATTGAAAATGTCTGAAAGACGAGACCGTTTGATTTTTTTTTTTTTTTAGGTCTTTGCAACAAGATACTCTTAATGAACGAACCTCACGTTCATTATCGCTGAGTTTTAGCACATTCCATCTGGAGCAGCACTGATGTTTTTTCTCTTCCTGGCTGCAGTTTTGAATGGAAATGAGTTTTGACAAGCCATGAATTAAAAAATTTTAACAAATACTTGAATATCCTGTTGAACCATAATGAACGAGCAGGTTCGAAGAAGCGTATTTATAATGAATATGAATATGCATTGATGGCATGTGCTCTGAAACATCATATTCAGGAACAGTGCTTCACACTCATGGGAGATGTGATACCCAAAGCTCTCTGTTATGACATTTCCAGGTGCCCTACTTTTAAAGAAACAGTGGAAGGAGAAGTAGTGTGTTAATGACCTTTTCCTAAAAACTCTGGCAGCCTAGAGGATGTCTTTCTCTGTGGTTATGGGTTCTTAAGCTTCACAAGTAGCCTTTAAACTACTTCACATGCTTCAGTCATCACCAATTTTCCATAATATCCAGATCAGAAGAATCACTTGTTGATATCATTGAGTAAGTTTGCCTGTTTTATCCCCTAATACTGCAAAATTACTTTATGTCTGAAATAACCCATCTGGTGCAGAGCTGAAGTAAAATGTTTCAAAGTCCAAAAGGTCAGAAAATGTTTAATTTAGCATATCTTAAAAGGCAAAGGATGCATGCCTTTCATGGAGAGTTTTCTTGTCTGTTTTTTTAAAGGATGCAGAACTTATCCACTAGAACAAGCAACGCAGTACGCTATTTAGTATTTCTCCAGCTTGCAAAAAGGAACTTTCAGCAACCTTCAACTTGCCTCCTCTTTAGAGCTTGAAGATAAAATTGAACCTTATCATTGTCTGGCAGTATCAGACATAATCAAAACCCTTGGCAAAAAAGCCTCCCTAAAAATCAAGATGTCCTTTTTTAAAAATTGGCTCATCAAATGACAACACAAGTTGTTGATGTTTTTTTTCAGGTACGTAATGCAGCTTATATAAAACAATAACATTTTGGTTAAAAAGCATTAGCATATAGTAAATCGAATAAAATCTTTTTTGCATTAGCTAGTACGCATCCACTGGCTGGTTAATTAATTAAAGATAGATTGCAGATGTGGCATTTGTACTGCTGCATAACACTGATGTCTTTACAAAGCTACTTCAAATTTGTAGAAGCCGTTTTTTAATGTTGTGTGCAGCAATTTGCTCGTTTCGAATGTGAACATGTTGTCTTAGAGTTGAATTTGTGGTCATCCTCTTGTGGCGAGCAGGTTTTGCAGGCACGGTCATCTAAACAGATTTGGCCCGGCCAGTATTTCCTCATCGCGAGCTGATAGACGCTTCACTGAATATTGTGTCCAGCAATTTTGCTGCTTCACTCACCAGGGATGGCAGGATTTGTTCTGTGGTCACTAAGGTCTCTATTGGACATAGAGACATGGAGTGAATGAGTTGTAAAGAGACTTTCAGAAATGGCAGGGTCGATAAGAGACTCGGATCCAGGCACGTGGCGTATGGAGATCTGGTTGCTTTTCTGTGACCTCACAAAGTAACCTTTGTGGTGTAGGATCCGTCTGTCATTCTGAATTGTGTTAGATGTAAAAAGCAATATTTTTAGTCAGGGTGTAATTTTTTCAAATATATTGAAGATTTTCCAAGAAAACAAATGTGAATTGAAAATTTGCTTGTCACTAAAGCGTCACCATAAATGTTGAAGACCAGAGCTTTCAATTTTTTTTCTATCTGCTCTTGAAAGGATGTAATCTGGCTGGAATATCTGGATCATTTTGTTTGAGGTTGTGTGAAGAGACTCAGATCCTGAGTGCGGACTAAGGGAAGAAAAGAAAACAGCTGTAAATGCCACAGTGGAGGACGAGGGCTGACCTCTTTGAAGCTACCTGTGGGGGGATATGGAGAGGGGTGGAGGCTGGAGGGGTGCTGACATTTCACGAGACTGCGAACCGAAGACGGTCCACTCACAAACACGTGGCTTTCTCTAACGCAGCTTTATCTTCCTCACACACTTCCACACCCACAGAAATGCAGAGTGGGGCGCTTTTTGGGGATTCTGGAAGCTTCCAACTTTCCATCCCACTATGGCATCATGAGAGGTGTCATAAGTCATTTCTTCCTTTGCAAAGTTTCTGCCTCGGACTAAATTATTGAAATTGCTCAAAATGTTTTATTGTTGTTCATTGGCTCAGGACCAAGGGAAGCATAAGAGCCATTCAAGCAGGCAACAGCTGTAACTCACAGTTCAGTACAGAGAGGACGAGAATGTGGACCAGCCTTTTTCTGGAAAACACTTCGGAACGTCAGAAAAAGTGCAAGACAATTAGGACGTATCATCATCACTGTTACTTTCCTTTCCCAGGTTGCCTCACATTTCCTCCGGCTAATAATGCATCTTTATGCTCTGAAAAGGTCCTCTGTATCATCCAGCACACTTTCTCTGCTCCTGGCAGCGCCTCCTTCCTGCAGCATCATTCCATGACTCATTTGTAATACTCCTCTTCCCAAATTGTGCACTCTCGATGTGTAAGCTCTGACTAACACAGACACACAGGACTGGCCTCAAGAATAACTTGGGCAGGAGTCGGGAGTCTGGAGCTAACTTTGCTGCGGCATTGAAACCTTTCCCATTACAGGTGGTTGAATTTAGTGTGTTTGTTAATACCAAAGTTGGTTCCCCGTAGTACTTTTTTAAGCGAAGGAAAGATTTAGGTTGATTAACCAAAGTGAAAAGCGTATTTTCAGAAATCCACCCGCAGACTTTTCCTCACACCGCTCTTGATGAACACAATCAGCACCCATCGATTGCCTCAATCAGATTATCTCAATCTTAAGCTTCTTGTCACCTTGAATTTCCTTTGTTCAGGTTAACGAATGGCCTCTAAATCATTTCTCGTAAAGTTACACAAAGAGCATAGGTTTGATAAGTATTTTTTTTTTTTTGTAGAAGTGTGGAAGCTAAAAGTGAGTTGCTGATTTGGAATTGTACTCCTTTTGCTTCGCCTCGAAACAGAACGTGATATCTATGGTTTTCTTTATTTCTTGCTATCTCAGCCCCACCACAACAGCTCAGCCACACCAGCCTTGTATCAGGGCTTTAAAAAAACAAGCAGGACGCTCAGCCCATTAACTCCTTCTACTGACCTTCAGTTAATTTATCTAAAGGTCTTTTAGACCTTTTTCAAACAAGCATCAGCCGAGTAGTTTAATAAAAATAGTAACTAACAAGAAAAGTAAAACATTGTTGTTTTCACTTTATGCATATGTTTCAATTTGATTTTTTTTTAACATGTTTATCATCCAGTGAGAGCTGAAAGGGACAGAGTGACCTGCTTAGGTGAAGAGCATGCTCAGACTTGGAGATGACACCCAACCTTTCATAGAATCCAATAAAGGGAAGAAAATGCAGTATTCCCCCGATAGATTATTCATGCACCCACTTGCCAAATTAATCAAGTTGCATAGCAATGCACTTCAAGCCCATCCTTATCAAACCTGTGAAAGGCTCCAGCTTGTATTCTAGACAAAAATCAGTCTGTCATTGCACAGCTGTTAATTGGTTTTACAGAGTTCAGTCTTGCCTTTTGTCATTAGTTTAGCGTTAGTTTGTGGGCTCTTTCAGGTATTGAGGCAGCCCTTTTGATGATTGTATTCCCAGCACATTTCTGATGACATACAGCACAGCTAGGTGCTAGCGTCCCCACACTTTGCCTCTACTCCCCTGTTGGGCTTTGTCGCTTTAAAATAAATTCTCCAACATGATAAATAACATTGGAGCTATCTGACATTTAGGATGAATGTTGTTGGATTTGAAGCTTTTGTGTTGGAAACTTTAATAAGCCGTAAGCTGTTTTCTTGTTTCGCAACAACCTTGCCGGGCCCTCCATCCTGCGTTTATCTTTCTCGAAAAGGGCAGCATTTCTCATTTTGACCTGCTGTGACCCATCAGCTCAAATCTATAGGTTTTGTATTGCCGGTTTGATGTTTAATGGTAACAGACGTTGAGCAATTTAACATTGGGCCTCAGATATCAAGATTTGAAAAAAAGAAAAATCAATCGGGTGATCAATGTCAATTTCATGTGGCAGGTGTTCTTTTTTTTTTTTCCCTTTCTCTCCTCAGTTTTACTTCCCCTAAGGGAATGTTTTCAGAGTGAATCAACAAAGCAGTAAAACTCTGCTCTCATTCACTCAACCAATGAGTCTGTGCAACAGTGAAGTAAGTCTTCAGAGGTTTCTACAGAGGGGCGTCGGACGCACAGGCCACCTTTAACCTCAGCCTTTTCTCTTTTAACGGCTTGGCAAAAAACATTTGGATATGGAAAATAAATATGCAGATTCATGGTATTATAACTGATCCCTTTTGGGTTATGTATTCAATACATATGGATAATGTGCTTGTAATTTTCTTGAAAAAATGTTTAAGTTAAAAAAAAAATCCCCTTCCACAGAGACAGTAGCTTCCTGTACAGGCAGTGATATTCATGGGTAGTAGGTTAGAGGAATGCTCTTTTATAAGGGTGGGAAGAAAAAAGGGGACAGATACTTGGAGTGTATTTCTTAACTTAAATATGGATAAGGACTGTGTGTGTGGCAATCTTAAATCTGTTGTAGCTGCAGTTCAGACTTTTTGGTGTGACGATGTTGACTAAACTGCAGCTGATAAATGCTCTCCCTATATTCACACAACATGAAGTCATGTAGCTTCTGCGGATCACAAGCCATAAATAACACCAAAAACCTCACTTATAGGTAATATCGGAACATAAGATAATTCTTATACCTGAAAAGGGTGGTAACACAACAAAGTTAACTTGAAAAGTGAATCCACGGTTAAAGGAAAGAAAAATGAAAAAAAGATTTGTGGTTCTGTCATGATGTGAGATGATTTAAGGCTCTACACTAAGAATTATCTAGGAAATAGGCTACTGTTCTTTGTGTATGGCCTTGACAGAACCAAAAAGCTGAAAGCCTGAATACTGATTTACTCTGAGTCCTTATATAAACCTGTGCACAGATTGCTTTTGTACACACAGCTAGACACTGATTCAGTTTGTCTTTTCCCCTGTACCTCTCTGCAATGTCAACCTCTCCAGACCTCATATGAATTTTGCCAATTAATTGCCAGACTAATGAATAGCCAATTATATTCAGAGTGAGTGAGGGCAGGAAGGTCTGGACAGGAGAATTCAAGGGTTCATTTGTACTTCAAGGACACATTTTTGTCAAGAAATGCGACCACTAGAAAACTTAATTCTGTCATACATTGGACCCAAACAAGAGCCCACCCTATAAATGAAAATGGGAGATAATTGGAAGCACTTGACTGAAGTAAGAAAATAAGACTTATTCTTACACTGTAGGAAGAGCTGAAGGGTTTTATTTATTTGACTTTATATTAATGCATTATTGGATGTCATTTAGTGGAATTAATGGCTTTTAATGCCTCTAATGAACCTTTTTGTGGCACCATATATGATTTTCTGTGGCCTTGATAAGCACTACTGCTCCTTTTTACTGTTGGACAAAAACCAGAACGTTGTGTGTTACTTCCAGATGACTGGATCAGTTTGAACTCAAATGGTTAGTTTCTCTATTTTAGGTTTGCTAAACTTTTTATCTACATTCTTAGGTCAGGGGTAGGTTAAATTAATCATGTAAAGCTTATTATTTTTATATTAAGACTTCACATAATCTTGATATAGAAAATCTCAGACTCTTATTCAGATTTAGTCTTGGACAGCGTATAAAGTGTCTTTGTTTTTTCGTGCTCATGCGGAGCGTCATTTAGAAGTACAGAAGAAGGGCAGGTTATGAGGCTGACCACTACAGAAGTGATCCGTAATCTGAAACACAATTAGATCTAAATGTGGCACACTTAAGCTCATCACAGATCCAATAGCAATCAGTGATGTCCTTGGCACTAAAATGAGGACCTGTTTAGATATTGATCAGACGGCACGTTGCTGATGAAAGTGTGGCAGTAGTTGTTTTACAATATTGATTTTCTTTTTGGGGGGGGCATAAAAAGCTTTTTTCCCCCTGCTTGATCCTACCACACAAATTAGTCCCTTTGTAGTATGAACCTAACCACTTCTTTTCAGGGTAGTGGATAACTTTTCTTTTTTTTCTATTGCATGTTACTGTAGTTTGCACAAAGATTGAGCATTTTGAACAGAGGCTCGATTTACTTAAACAACAAAAATCGGCAGATTTTCTCCTGACGAGGCTCCTGGTAAATAAAGGTTTTAGACTTTAATGGAAGTAATATGGCAGCTGAAGTCCTCTAATATGCTCAATATTTTGTATTTTGGTAGCATGTTTGTCTTTTCACATCACATTTGGTACAAAAAAAACCTTTCAGAGATCAATTTCAATGTCTGCATCTGTGTCCACAGTTGAACCGAGTTTTCTATTCTTTGTTTATGGGTCATCTTTGTTTGATATTACAGCAGCTGATGAGAGAGCGACAACAGATGGCCAGTCGTCCGTTTGCCTCAGTTGCTGTTTCACTGGATACCAGAGGAGATCTAACAGAAGTCTTGCAGCCTGTGGTTGATGTAAGTCAAAATAGATTGCCAAAACACACACCATTTACACACGTAAGATGTAGTTTATGCATATCTTATAATTAAATTGTTAGAGCACCTACCAACTCAAATATTCTCAACTTGAAACAACATTGAACTTGAACCCATTTTTGTATCAGTGTCGCAAACATTTAATATTTTTGTCATTCAAATATCGTATAGCTGGAAGGACTATATCATGACAAGTGGTTGAAACAGGATAAAATAATCTGCTGTACCTTTTTAGTGCTACATAATCAAAAGCTATTGTGCCGTTCTAGGCATCAAGCCCTCTGATTAAAGAATGTTTGCCTTTCTTCTAGTCATCAATAAGAAATCTGCTGGTATTTTCTTGCAACGTCTGTCATGTTTCTAAGATTTGTCCTCTTGGCATCAGTGCACTTCTTACAAAGATTTTTTCATAGATTTTATTTTCAATTGTTCGTGGCAAGAAACATTATCACCAGTGTGAAATTGTGATGGGTTTTGTTATTTGTTTCTTTCCAAATGGATCCATTTTACTGCACCAATTGGTAATTACTGTGGATATGTTGCGGTCTTTATGTTTAAAATATGGGCAGCTCATATATGCTACTAGTTGCGCTCTGCTCTGTTTGTCCTGATTTCTTTTTCTCCAGTATCTGGCTCCAAGCAGAGCCAGTTGCTCAAAGAGATACGGCATGTTTTGAAGAAACGTGGAGGGTTACATAGGAGTAGCTGCGGTGTCTCCTCAGAAAGGCCTGAGCTCTGTGTCACCTGCGTCTGCGAGGAATAAAATGACTGTGGCGACCTGTGAAGAGGCGCATTAGCGCAGATTGTACTGCTGAGTGGCACTCACCCTTCATTATGGTGCTGGGAAGGGCAGCGTAAAACGCAAAAGACGAGAAAAACAATGCTTCTCAGCTCTCTGAGAGCACTATCCTGGTGTGTTTTTTTAAAGCACACTAAATCAAAGCGGTTTCGGAAGTAGCGCTTTGCCTTGATTAAAGTAAAGTGTTAATTGCATCCTTGTCTTAGGGACAGGGGGTCCATCTGGTGTGTACTGATTTATGCTCGTGGCGCTTCTTGCTTTCCTGCACAAAAATTCAAGACTGTGCTCACATTAAAGTGGAGACTTTACAAAGTGCTGGAGAGACTTTAGCTGTAAATTGTGCAGCGTGTTTCCTCTTAGTAAACACATTTTACACACGCAGTAACTTTTCTATTCATAAATCCTTTCAGGCTGTATTGTTTTGAAACAACAAAAATGGCACAGAGCTGTTTTTTGTTCTGCACTAAAATGAATAAGACATTTTTTCAAAAGATTATTAGAATGACTTGTTTGGAAAATAGATTATCATTTTTAGATTGACCGTGGTGCCTTTGTGGGGTGGTGAAAATGGGCTGTAAATACTTCCTGCAGCCAGTCTACTGGTGTGCTGCTCTGTGGTTGGCTCAGTTTTACAGTCACTTTTGCATTTTTCTTTGTTCAAAACATTCACCCTCTCCATTTTTTTATTCCATGTCAGTCCCTTTCACGTAGAGTTTTAAAACATGTCCTTAACTCTTAAGAGCTCTGCAAACTACAGGTCCAACAGGGTTTGACAAGCATTTGGAGAGCAGTCATGCCAAAACCATCATAATTAGAAATTTCCATTTAAATCAAGTTGCAAAAACTTCTTGCTTGATAGGTTTAAATGCATTTTCCCTCTTTGAATAAGATTTATCTGGTGATGTCACAGTTTCTTATCGCAATATCTATCGCACTATATTCATAAAGCCGAATATTTTGGGCAGTCCCAAACATCATCTACAGGAGATTCTATATGAATTCTGCTGTGGTAAACATGTATCTTTTGAGGTGCTGCAAAAATCTTCCAGCCTGTGGCCTAAAATTCCAATTTGGATGATTAATTCAAAATGTTGTCTTTTATTTATAACAGAAATGACATCCTTTGAATGCATTTTTATAAATGAGGTAGCCTTTTGTTAATGCCAAAAGTGCGTGATTCAAATTTAACAGTAACATTTGCAGCATGTAATTCAACATACTCTGTAGGGAAATAAATTCAAATAATGTAAAGGGTTATGTTAAATAACGCGTAATGCACAGCAACTTGGAGGCGGCCACATGCGGCTAGAGATGCGTCAACTGATGCCCCTGTTTTATCTCTGGGGCAATTTTAAAAAAGTTGTTTATTAATGTATTGAAGTATTATTTTGCGTTTTTTCTTTAAATGAATATCTGAGTTGGTCTAAAAATTTTTTAATGTGCTGCTGCCCATTTTGGCCAGTCCTGCATTTTCTCTGGCAGTTGTTACGGTTTCCATCTTTTGTTCCAAAATTTAACATCAGCCAGATTATTATTTTGATAGTTGAATCAAGCTTTTGTGTGTTAAATTGGCTAAGTAAAACCATTAATCGTGCTTGCTGGTCTGGGAGTTCTTAGTAATTTTTCTTTTCATAAGAAAGCATTCAGCTAAAATATGTTTCTCTTTATTCTGTATGATTTTTGGAAATCAAAAAACAAAAATGCCCATTTTGGATGACATACAGCTTCATTACATGCTCTGGCACCAGCTGAAGGTGAGAAATATGAATCAGGACTAATTCAGTTTTGTAAAGGTTCATTTTTCAGCATCTGCCACCATTTAGCTTTTGCAAATATTCGTTGGTGTCAAAGAGGACACTGATGCTGTGTTTTGCTGTTTCAACAGCCCTGTTTGTGCTTTTAACTCTGACCCAGTTCTGGCCGATAACCCCCCACCATCCACACGTAAAACCTTTACAGGAGCACTCTTTAGAATATCACAAGTGGTCTGAAAACTGTGGTTTGAAACACAACACAGACGGGGGGAGGCATCAAATGGACCCCTCACGCTCCTTCCAACAAATGAAAACATGTAACGCTCTCGTCTCTGCCTCCATCCACTCCGTCTCACTGCATTACTTGGTAGCTTTTCTCTATTGCTACCTTAATGGACCCTACTAGCCGGTCTGAGTGAGAAAATCGTAACTATCTTTCCATTTGCTTGGCATAAACCCCCCTAAGATGGACATTGCTTTTAGTGACTGAGATGGCAGCAGCTGCTGCACTGTAAGCCGTTCGCTCCCTGGACCCTGCAGTCCAAAACGGCTGGCGTTTAACATATGGAACTACTAACGAACGGAGAGTGTGATTGATGACACCTGTCAGCAGGGAGAGGAGAGCAGAATGTGTGTGTTGGCTTGTGTGTATACATGTTTATGAGCTTGGGGTGTTATAAATGACCATAATCCAGCCACCACTGATAAATGCTAAGTAAAAGCGCGGGCCGCACGATTCGAAGATGGAAGAATTCGACACATCGTTTCGGAATTTGCTCACAGAAAATAAATCAACCGTGTGTCTGAACTGTATTTAAATGTTTGAATTGCATTGTTTATTGTCATTTTATCGCTCTGACGGAAAACATCCGTGCATCATAGCCAGTGTAAGCGGATGCTCCTGGATATTAATGTTTTGTTACACGTCTCAATGTGATTTTTAGTTTTACACCCCCCTACCCAAATCCAATGAGACATCGTTAGGAATGGATCGTGAAGTAACACGTTTGAATGACCTCTACTATTTATTGCCCAGAGCAGTGTTTGTTTTCATTGAGACTGAGCAACTATGCTTGACTTAGTGGTTCACCCAACTTCAGCTTGCAAATCATGAGATAAAAAACTTTTGATTAGCTCCCTTAGATATACTGTGTGTGGCCTGTGATGCAATTCATTAGAAGAGTCACTTGAATGGCCATGAGATGAGAAGGAACTTAATTACATCTGTTATGTCCAGTGTAGATTCAAAATGTCCCTCTCAATAGAGAATATGCCCCAGCAGACGTGTGAGAAACAATGTGTAGCAGCAATGTGTAAAGTTATATTTAAGGCTCCCTTTGTGTCCAGTTTGCCCATTTTGCTGAAGTCTTAAATTTGGTTTGTTTAAAGGCTAAAAAGGCTCAGCTGATGATGCTTTAGGCTTTGACCAACTACAGGCGCCTACAGGTGTTTTAAAGCTTTCAAAGAAATATATGGTTAAATGAGAGATATCTTATGTGCCTTATATCTATCTAGAATAAATGTTCAGGGGCTAAAAAATGTTCCCTAAAACTCCATTCTGTTTACTTTCAAGTTTATGCTTAATATTTATGTGTAGTTTTGCTTTCTGTTCTCAGTATCAATTTTTATTTTTAGTAAATATGTGTTTGTATTAGTCTGTCAAATACAACAGTATTTATCCCTGTTGAAAAAACGGAAGTAATGTTGGAAATGTATTTTAAAAGTTCTACTTTTGTGCGTATTATAACCAGATCCACCACAATACCTGAGATAAGCACTTGAAATAACTTATCTCAATATTCTTAAAACCAACTGCATATGACTGTCTTCAGTAAAAAGTTTTTGATTAGACCTGTCACTGCAAAGGCAGCTCACTGTTAACTGATAAGCAGCTCCATCATCATAAACGAGCTCCTGTTTAGACAAACTATACTGCCATATATATATATATATATATATATACACACATACATATATAATAGCCCCACGCAGCTATTTTAGCTTTACTTCGGACAGATGTGCTAATACGATCAGAGAAGCACTGATTTGTCATGATGTCTAAAGCAGAGAGCCCTCTTAATCAAATCAAGTCGTTTTAATTAAAGCGGCAAGGAGTTTTCACATTTAACATTCTCTTTGCTCTGACCGCTGGCCCTTTTTTCCACAGCACATTGTAGTGGTCCGTGTGATGAGGATCATCGTGTACGGTGGCTGAAGCACGCTCTGTTCTAACTGCGCAGCAACGTGCAAAAGCGGTTTGTCATAGTTCATGTGCGATGGTGGGAAACGCTGCCACTCCTCTGTAACGACGCATTCAGTGGTGGTATCAATACTACATCTGAACATGTCTTCCATGAAGACGTAAGGTCAGAGGAAAGTTAATTAGCACACTGCAATGCTGCATGTTTTGAATATCTTTGCAAATTAGTGCCACTTTGAGCTCTTATGTCCCTCGTTTCAGTCCAAACAAAGCTGAGTCATCTTAGAATACGGACTTCATTATCAAGAAACATTTTAGCTGTTCCGAAGGTACTTCATATGTTATCTTCACGTTTTACTGACTTCAAACAGCTGTCTCATTCGGATATTTAAGTAAATCTTTATTGAAAATGCTCCATGGATCTTTTACACTGTACACTGAACATAATACATATATTGAGTTTATCATGGTGTTTAAATGCAGACATTTCCATTATGGATTATATTTTAATTAGACTCGCCACAAATTTCAGTGCAGAATTTTGAAACAAATGAATGCATCCCTCTTTTTGCGACCTTGTGTTTTTTTTCTGTTATGTCCATTTTAAAATCAGCTACACAGAGACAAAAAAATCACATCAACTCAGAGATGCTGTTACTCCGCAATTTCTGTCTCTTCGTCCACAGCATGCTGTGAAACCCTTGACATTCATTATCAGGCTGACATGTTTTTCACGCTTGAGACAAGCAGTTTTGGCCATTAAGTCGGAGGGGAGGTCATTTCCTCGACACGTGGACTGTCAGACAGGGGTACTCGTGTTTTTGTCGTGTTACCAATAATTTGTGTTGCAGGAGGAGGCCATCACGACTTCACTGCTGGATTTCCAGCAACAGATATAAGTGACTTTTAGTCCATCAGTCCCATAAAAGGGAACACATCACACATGCCATTGTAGAAAATAGTGACATCCATTGAACCTAAGCCAACTGAAGGTGTGACCGGTGACCAAAACACTCACTAACGTCTGCGCTATAGTCATCATCCGTTAATTCTTTTTCTACTTCGTCCTCCAAATTGGAGCTTTTTCTCTTTTTCGAATAGTCTACCTCAATATTCCTGAAATCTCATTTTCTCAGGGTGCACCTAAACCTGTTGCGATGGAACCGTGTTCTGGAGGAAAGGCTGCCGTGTTGACTCTCCTAATGCGTCTGCCCTCCGGGCCCTCAGGCTTGCCTCCACCTGGACAGTCAGGTAACTCACACACTGACACAGACATGTCTGTACTTTTTCCACATCATGGTCTGTGAAAAGATTTGACTTTTTCCCCCAAATTATCAAACAGTGAGAAAGCTCTTACAGGTGTCCATGCTTGTTAACGCCCTGTTTTTAATTTTATTCCTTCTCTCAGACAATTTTGCATGTATAAAAGCTATTTTTAAACCTAAAATTGGCTGCTTGCATGTTACTTGTGTTTTAATCCTGCAACATGAGAACATCCGAGTCTGACTGGTGCTTAGTTTTTGAATGCATCTGGTGTCTGGTGGACAGTCTCGATTTGACGAAACGAGTGAACGGTTGATATTGATACAGTTAAGAGGGGAAATTAAATGCATCAATGTCACTTGCTTAATCGGACAACTGTGAGTTTTGTTCCTGGGTAAGCAAGCAACCCCTAATGTCGAGCCATGACTTGTCATTTTATGTGCATGTTGCCTGGTCTGCAGATTTTTTTCCACACTATAGTAACAGTAGGCAGAGGCTTTCCAGACTTACCAAACATCCTCATTATAGTGCATTACCTTTTATTGGTCCTGTGGGAATATTTTGGTTTGTGCATTCGTTGCATTTCATGTGGTAGTGATGGTCTTTCAGCATTAAAAAATAGCAAAAGCATCACATAGAACCCCATTACAAACGGCACATTTTAGACATCTATAAATTATATAGTGACGGTAGTGAAGCAATCACAACACTGTGACACTTTTACACCACAACTGCACACACACACCTCAGCAAATTAGCGGGTACAGCTCATTTACTGCTGGGGAGGTTTGTTAGAGTAAGTCATCCAAACTGACAATCATGTATATCAACATATACTTTTTTTAACATCACGTTAAAACTCTAGTTTCTGTACCATAAAAGTAAAAGTGTAACATTATAACTCACAGCAGAAGTCTTTAAAATGTGATACCGGAAAATATTTGTTTTGGTCAGTCATGTGTTATTGAGACTTTCAACAGACCTCTTACTTCTCTCCACCCGTCTGTAGGACTCATCGTTGCCAGTGCGCTGACAGATATTTCACAGCAGAAACCATCGGATTTCAAGGATAAGTCCCAGGCTTTAAAGAACCGAAAAGCCCTTCCTCCAGCACACCAAGGGACTTGTGTTTGACTCTAAGCCTCTCAGTCCATCGGTCCACTTTCGACACCATCCGAGGTCATATCGTTCCAGCATGTCTGGGGTCCTGTTAGGAAGCCTCTCAAGAGACTCACCATGTATACATGTGGAAGATTTCATTCAGCTGCTACCACTGAACGTCTCATGCTCCAAGAGCACAACCCATGTTGTCGTTCCTGGCCTTTTTTTTTTTTTTATTATATATTTTTCCTCCTGCTTCTCTTTTTTCTAGTACAGCCGTCTTTACAAAGAAAAGTGTCTGCATTAAGTGGACACCCACTGTATGCTTGCCTGGTGGTGACATCAGAGACATTGATAAGGAGGATGAAAACCTGTTGAGGAATTAGTCATAAATGCTCCGTGACACAGTTTGCTCAGAAAGAGCGAAAAGCAAAGCTGACTGCACACAAGGTGAAGTCACTGCTAAATGACCTCCCGCAAGATGTCCAGTGTACACTGCCCACACAGTTTCGGACCTTTGAGATTGCCAAACACACCTTGCTTCGATATAGGCTGATACAAGTGAGAACAAAAATACTATTTCACACACAATAACTATGTCCGGCTTATCTCAATAGTCTGATTAATGATTAGTCTTAGCATCTCCTGCACACACAGATTCACCCAGCTGACTCTAAAGTACGAAACGTGTTCTGAAGCTGTAGAGACCGATCACTGCCACGGGCGTGTGGCTGAAGCTGACCGAAGGACACACAAACAAATCATTCATCATCGAACTAAAACATGGGAATCTCAAATACAACGAAATAAGACACCTTTCATTAAGCAACTGGAAGTTTAAGTTAGTTTTTTTTAAATTAATTAATTTGACTGTTTCATAAGTCAGGCGGAAAAACACTGAAGTTCTGAGTGGTTCTTCCCTGTTGTTCGTAATTCTAACTTGGACATTTTGACGCTTTTGAACTCGCTCTTGGATCAATGTTGTGAACGGACCTCATTCAGGTGTCTGCCTCATAAAACCGCACCAGGGACGTCGTGATCCTATGGCTGTTGGCTAGTTTGTTTAATTTTTTAACAGCCTTCTGAAGCTATAACTTTCTTTAAATCTTTGAGTATAAGGAGCTGTGTTACTTTTTTATAAAGCCAAGGCCTTTCTGTGAACTCTTGCAGAGAGGCGCTGAGGATCTGAGAAATTTTTCAAAGCTGTACAGTGTCTTGCTGAACAAACGTGTGTCTTTGTCACTTTTATTTCCGATTTATGTCATGCGTTTTTGTCAGGTTTTTATGGCAAACTGGCAAAAATGTATTGGTTATTTAGGCCTTGTCACCTGATACTATCATACCTATGATAAATGGTTTTGCTACACTTGAGAAAAGATCATTTCTGTTAATAATTTCCTTTGATATTTAAGAGATCCCTGTGTAATGGCACATTTAAGTTGATTTTCTCAAAGACTTAAACCAGTTATCCTAATGTCGGCTTATCTTGATTTGAGCATCCGGGCATTTTCCTGCTTTTTTTTTTTTTTTTGTGCAAAAGCAGTCATTTTGAGGATTCTGTGCCTGATAATATCTTTTTATTTAGACTTTTAAAGTAATCCTTTAAGAGTGTCATTACACAGGAATCAGAGTCCCACTGTACCGTGAAAAAAAAAACAACCTGCAAATCGGTGACTGTCGGTGTATTTTTAAAAAAAGATGGACAATGTGCCATAAAATTAAAAAGAAGAAAAAAAATCTGAACACAATCTTTTGTGCAATGAAATCTTTTCTCAAACCATCCTCATGCTGTGGTACTGTTCTAGATGTTCCCGTGCTTCTGTGTGGCTGCCTGAGGCTTGATGTCTCTGAAGCTTAAACCTTCAATCTGTGATTGCCTTCCCAGCTAAAGATAATTGCTCTTTTGAAAGTGATCAAATCTCAAAACTCAGCCTTGATGTATTTTGTGTTAGTGCAAGATAATTACTTTCAGCATATTTGACAGTGCAATTTAAATTGAACCTCCCCTTTTAAATGTGTACCATATGAGTATATGATGTAAAGTAGGTTCTTTGTACTTTAATAAACTTATTTTAAAGGGATTATTCCACACTGCTTTACTACACACAGCTGACTCAAAGCTCAGGACTGAATTATGCTGTCTATTAAAAGATAAAAACGTCTGGTGAATTGAATTGGAATAAAGTTTTTTTTCATAAGGCTAAGGGTCACATTAACCTTTGGGTTGAAATTTTGAATTTGAAATGTTTAGCACATGTTTGCATGTAAGTTTTCTCTACAGTGACACTGCAACCGTATTAAATTCCCTTTATTAGTTGGAGTTGAGCACAAATGTGCTCTTTGTTGAATTATTCAGCATGCAAAGAGATTGAGTTAAAGAGAAGAAGTCTAGATGGTAAAAAACTAATTATGTTACAAAAGTGTATTTACTGTGGTTGAGATATTAAACATAAATGATTTCACTTTCATCCTCATGGTCCAGTTAAGTATGAAACAAAGAACAGAGTCTATATTTTCAAGTTTAGACACATGTCAAGAGGTTTGTCCTTCAGGTTGCTAACACCTTTTAGAGTGTTATTGCTCACTGTTCAATGTCATGGACGCGCATTTCAACGAGGACATAAGGAACAGAGAGGCAGCCTGCCAAAGTGCTACTCTGGCTAATCCTCACTTATTCTTGACAGTGTACCTTTTAGCTGCAGGCACTCTTGGAGAAAAGCCACTCGTGTCCTGTAGAAAAGTTAATGGCAAACTCGTCCAGTTTTGCATGGCTCCAAACAAAACTCAGGAGAACATTTTGGGATTTTGAGATTTACCTCTTTGTGATATCGCTAGAGAAATTTATCAGCATAAAGAAAGGAAGCGACAATTTCATTGATAAAATTAAACAAAAGTCAATTTTTTCCCCATAATGGACGGAGTAAAAGACATCATGCAAAAGAGATTTTGAAAACAGATTATTGATTATTGAGGAATGGTTCATCTACTGAGAAATTCCCACATGACAAACATTCTGTTTTTGGTGTCTGTCAATTACTGGTGATGGTAAATGTCTTCTCTCCATGTCAGACAGTGAGATGGGAAATGGGAGATGTGTAAGTAAACTCTGCAGACTGAGCAAAGGTTTCACCATCAAAATTAATCCAAGCTGTTTTTTACTCTTGTTTTTTTACTTGGAGTCTGCTAAAAAGGAATGGAAATTTCTGAAAGTAATTCCAAAGAAGTGCAAATTTTGTGTTCTCTGTGGAGGACTGAAACACAGGATTTAAGAAATGTTAAATGGCTTAGATAATAAAATAACAGGTTAAGGGAACCAATGATTAATGTGACAGTATAAATAATGAAAGTATTGACAATTTTAGATAAACACAAAGTAATAATAAAGTGCTGGTCAACCAAAATCAATTACCTGTGTTTTATACTTTGTATGTCAGAATTTCTTAATGTTTAAAGAACTAACATCTGTTAACTTACTTATTAGTCTTAAAGGAAATTAATTTAGCCTGAACGCACATTTAAAAGAAAATTAGAGTTAAGTTTTCATGTTAAATACCCGAGGAGATGAGCATCACAGTGGTACTGTATATACAATGCTAATTTTAATCCACATGTTTTGTTTTTCTACATGCACAGATTTCAGACAAAGATTCATTGTTATTACAGTGGTTCGCATCTTTAGGAGGAGGGAAAGAGAACAAATGGTCAGATTTGTCTGATCTGCAACCCATTAGTACACCATTACGTTATAACTGAGCAGTGATTTAAAAAAATGTTGACAGCAGTAATTACCATTTTGCGCCCATCCTGAAATCATATAAAGAAAGAGTGATATGATATGCCACTCATACAGTATCTGAACACTTTAAGTTGGTATCTCCATTGATGGATTTCTTCGTGAATATTCGCCCATCCCAAGTGACTCGACAGTAATCGGTATTGCACTCTGCCAAGGAATAATATTGCTGTTATCAGTTCTGTACCATTGCTTTGGGGATGTTTATTATTGCAGTTTCAGAATTTCCGCATTGCTGAGTTTAGCGTCTAATGGAAATTAAAGTCGGCGCCTAGATATAAAAAATCAACTCTGTGCATGTTCTGCAATCAGATGGATGATCTATTCTGTAAGTTTTCAATCTAAACTAGCCCGCTGTTTTCCACAGGCGTGATAACACAAAGTTTGCCGAACTCAAATCCTCAGATATAATTTCCCTGTCCAGATTAGTCACCGACTTGCTGCACTCTTTGTTTAGGTCTCACTTCAGTTGTATCTCAAAACACCAATAACTATAGTCATTTCCCCTTTTCTGGAATATTTGTGTTTTTGTTTTTTTTGTAGTCTTTTTCAAATAGAATCCACAAGACCAACGGCTAAAGTGGGATTGTTATTTAATCCCACTGTGTTGTATATGTAGGTTTAAAGACAGTCTTTCTTATGGCTGTTACAAGGCACATTAGTAAAAAACGAATAGATCAGAGGATAGCCAGAGGAGCCAGGAGGAGTCCGTCATAGAAGATTGATGGAATACCTTTTGTCTTTGAAAGGGAAGCAGGGACAAATCCTCTTATGGTTCTCGTTCATGAGACCAGCTGATATGTGAGTCTGGTTCTGACTCACCATGGTCTACAGTGTACGGTGAACAGTGGATGGTTTAACCCCTTTTATTAATTTAGCAGCTTTTTCATATTCTATTCTGGACAAAACTAAATAGAATTGTGTTTATTCAGATGCTAACTCTTAAGGTCAAGTTACGGCATCTTTATTTGTATTTGACAAACTTATTCAAAATATCCACTTAATATAAATCAAATACTCAAGTTTTAGCTGTACAAGGTTAAACAATACAACATTCTCATTGATGCCTTCAATTACTAGCTTACAAATGTTATTTTTTGTCAATGGTCATTTATTTAATATATTAGAAAAAACAATAAGGGCTCTTTGGGCTGAATCTTCATCAGGCCGACAACATATGGAGGTTTTGGCCAACACTAAATTCTTATTGTGACGTTTAAGAGATGTTAAATAAATGTAATACAATTAGTTTTTAAATGCTGTCAAGATTAAAGTAAAGTGAGGATTCTGTCCTCAACCCATGTCTGTACATCTGTAATATATCATTTGCTTGCTTTTTTCTATCTAACTTTTTTTGAGTACCATCAAATTAAATGAAAATTGGAATTGGGGGAACGCCTACATTACCTCACACCTCTAACCCTGTCCTCGCCATTCCATAGTATCTAAAATAAATCTGGTACCATTAGGGGTTCACTGTGAAAAGTCAGGCACACAGTTATTTGTTTTAAATACAAGTGATGAAATGAAATTGTAACTGATTTTCTGTAAATGGAAAACAGAGAATCAAGGGTAGTTTTTAAGGTATTGAAACACTGATGCCAAAGAGGTCAAAGCTTAGTAATTAGATAGCTGGCAGTACGGCGGTGATTGAACTGTTATCAGTATCCACTTTAATCCACGCCCAGGGTCAACTCTCACACTCAGGAGTCCTGTGGTGGTTCTACGGATGTAACTCAGGAGGTCTCGTGGTGACACCTTTCTGTCCTAGTGGCGTTATGACAGAGGAACAATGAAAATGCATAGTAATAATGGGTATTATGGGTTTAATAACAGTTATTTTTCTGAAGGTTTGAGTAACGTGCTGCTTGTGGCTCTCACAAAATATCAATCTTTCAAACAGAACATTGCAAAGTCTAATAATTCTACAGCAGGCTCCCATGAAGGCTCCCATTTACAACCCTCTATCATAATTCTATATGTGAAAAGAAACCTTTATCTTTGAAATGCCGATAAAATCACAGCCTTTTAGAATAAGACTGGCGATTGTGTTAAAAGAATCTAAACATTGATGTTATCAATGGTACTTTGAGTCTCCAATGTCTTGTGTGCCAAAAGCGTACATATGGAACAAATGGCTTTCAAGATTAAAACACATCTTTATTGTGAACATAGACTTATAAAACTCCACTACATATGGCTGAAATAAACCACTGCCAAATCTTTTGGAAGGAGAACAAATAATCTCTTTAAGAAATTGGACGCTAAAAGGGAATTGAATTTAGTTGTGGATGAGATTTTGGCACAAATGCTGGCATATTAACTGGTTGCTGAAATGGAGGGCCACAATTTCTTCTGAATCCCTTTCTTTTCTCTTCTTCATCTCGCCACATCTTCTCTAGATTTACAGATGTAGGCCTACCAAAAACCAAATGGGCAAAGAACAATAAATGTAAAAAAAACCCTTGTGGCATTTACTGAAGGACTAACATTCCTTAAACTCCTGTCCCAGTAAGCAACGCAGGGAGACATACCTTCTTTCTCTATCATGGAAGCAGCAGTTGTCCATAACAGCTCAAAAACTAGTGCAGTAAATAAAAAGGCAAACGGCAGCTCTCAAACTCTGGCTTTTGTACTTTTAATTTTTTTGGTTAGTTTTTGAGGTGCTGGCAGGCTGTGTCTTTCCTTTTAACTTTTATAGATCAGTTTCAGCGGACAATTTGTTTTTTTTCCATCTTTTATATAACATAAAGCAAACCTTTCAGCCATTCTGGTTGTGTGACATGCTTTATAAATCTGAGGCACGTTCTTTAGGTTATGTATTCCATCATCGTGCCAAAAAAGGTGGGTTGTGTTCCTGACAATATACATCACCTCTCCTGTCCACTGAGTAGCCTGTCCTCAACAGGCTCTGTCCTTGTCCGCTTCTGTCTCTCAGCACAAGGACTGATATGATCTGACTGACAATAGCAGTCTGTTTGCCAGGTGCCATCTTATAATCCTGCCATACTAGAATCCCTTATATACTGAAAGACAAGATAAACTGGCTATTGGAGGAAAAAGATGATGGGCCTGGATCCGCTATCTGATCTCATCTGTTACAATCAGCATAGGTAACCGGTTCCATTTTTGTTTTTCAGGAAAACACTACATAAAAATCTACATTTTGGATAATTTATTAATGGGTCAGTTATAAGTCTTGTCTTTGTTCATTGTAAATTCAAATGTTCATGCAAGTAGTAACGATAGAGCATAATTATTATTATTATCTTTTTCTTAATGGCCAAATAATCAATCTTAAGGAAAAAAACAGACTGTGAAAGCACATTGTCTTCAATTGAGTGCCAGTACAGACTTTTCTTTAGATGCCAAGAGATCTTAAAAGGAGGCGTTAATGGGACATGCACAGTAAACATCTTATAAATGGTAAGGGTGTTTTAAAAGCAAATCATTACATTTCCTGGAATGTCTGTGACAATCGCTGCTCTCAAGCAACTGTTGTTATCCTAATTTCCTCCATTCATATCAGCAGCAACTGTTAGAAATGAATGACTGCTGGCGTTTGTCTTTTGGCATTTGCTTTGCTTGTGGGTATTTACACACTGCTTATTTGTCAAACCATCATTTGTCGTTTTCTCAGTTGAAATATCAATGGTAGCATTTATTTTTGCACTGACATCGTTGTAAATACTTTTTGTTGTTATTACAGACTATTTGATATTTAAGAAGAACTTGAGTTTAAGATAGAATTGACTTTATCCCCAAACATAAATATAAAAAGCTTATCTGCAACCACACGAGACAGGAATCATATCTCTTCACATTTGAAAAAAAAAAGTCACAGCTAGGCTGGATCAAGCAGAAGGACCTTAATCACCTGTACTAATGTCAAATTTCATAATACAGACACTGTATACAAGCTAACTGCAGCACACAGCAACAGAGTGGACACTTGTGTGCCATATTTACAAAATTATGTTTTACTAGTAATGTGAAACCACAAACCAAATTTACAGAAAATTATCTTCACCTAGCACTGAGAGAAAATGATTTTCTACCAGTGGATGTGTCACTGTCTTTTACACTGTCATTGTCTGACAAATCCTACTTTTAAATGATTTCAGCAATTTTACGCATCACTACCCAAACAATGCATTTATGAAGTCTGTTGTCAATATTTTGTCTTCATATTTAGGTCCAGACTAACTTTCCAATTGCCTTTTGCTTCAACCGAATCAAGCTCATTAACATGACAGACACAAGTGCAGTTATGCAGAGAATGATTCATTGTGCAGCATATTGGCTGTCCATTCAGTCAAATGTGCAGTAATTGCACACATCAAAAAAAAAGAAAAAAGTAAAAAGAAAATGAGAGCTGAATCACATCAGGTTGGACTTTCTCTCCAAAACATGTATTTCCAAGAGTAAATCACATTTTTTGAGGTCCAAGATGCTCCCACAGGGCGTGGACAGCAAATGAGCGGAAGTCTTTTTTTCCACACAGCAACGTCAACATGTATTTTGCAAATATTATCCCACTATTGCCTATGATTTTACTTCTATTACTGTGCTGTTTTTCTTTTCCATTTAAAGAAAAATGCAGGTGTTGCATTTTAGCGAATGACAAAATGTAATCACTTCAACCTTTAAATCAGAATGCTGGTCCTTGGTTTCTACAAAGAGTGGAAACCTTTGAGCTGCAGAGCAGTTGATGTAAAAGCGAAGGCCAGAGCGGAGAACATTGTTGATGGGTGTAAGCTGGTCGGTTCAGCTGGTGAGCTCCTGGGAATGGCATTTGAAGCACTGGAGTCATCCAGGTGATTGTTCTAAAGGGAGAGATCGCCGTGAGACAGTAGCTAGTCAATGGATAAAATGTTAATATGTAATTTATATTTTTCTTTTTTCCTCTGGAGTTAACTCCAGAGCTCTCTTCTTTGGTTGATTGGATAATCCAGTATGGTCATTGGAACTTTGTGCAAATCTAAGATTAAATAATTATTCTACGTAGAAAGAACAAAATCTGAATAAGCAAAGCATGTGACATAATGCCTCTGATTTCTTTAATAAATAAAAGGCCCTATCTTTAAATTAATGTGGGGTTGTTTCTTAAAAACAATTTAACCAGGAAATGTTGAATTATGGACTTCTATGTTGAAAAGCTGATGTTTAAGGATGACTGGAAATGTAGCAAAACCTATGAAGGAACATAATGGTAGTCTGTATGTCATAACTACTACAATTTGACACAAAGTCTAACATCATTTGTTTTTTAAATGGTCGTGGGTGTGCCGAGAGTAAAATGGATCTTACCACACAAAGATCAGTGTCCATGGTTTGATTTGTCACCAGTTTCTGGGCCTGAAAGGATATTGAGGAAAAGGACTTTAGCTTTGACTCGTTGATTGGTGCTTCCAACAGCTGAATGTGATATGAAATTCGGCACCAGTTACAATAGTTCAGACGTCTAGTCCAAGCCTAATTGTTCTCTGTGAAATTCACGTTTTTTCTGTGTAGCATTTCCCATTTGTAACTTCTCAAGGTCAAAAAAGGTTTGAAATATTCAAGTATTTCTCAGCCATACATAACATGCCCACCTGTATTTTCTCATACAAACTAACACAGTTGCAATCTTACAGTAAAGGAAATGATAACGTGAGTCTGTAATGGATTGGAAAGCGAATAAACAATTCATGTTCTGGTTCTTAAGTAGAAAAGAATTCAGTGAACCAGAGTTCTGGAGAGCAAATGATTAATTGCTCTATCAAAGCTCTTTCCTCCTAACGGATGTTCTACTGGTAATACATCATATTATCGCTAATAAAAGCCACTGTGACAGATTATCTTGGTTAAGAGTATATGATATAATCTCATTTATAAATATTCCCTTAAGGTATTATCAGAAAATGGCAAATATCCAGTGGGTGTTGGTGAAGCCAAATCTCTTCTGAGCCAGAACCAGAACGATGACCCCATGAACACAAGACAAATATCACTTGGAAAACATTTTTTTGCAAACTAAAGTTTGCATGTATATGGCTTTACATAAAAACACAAACAAACAGGCAGACAGACAGAAAAAGACTGTAACACTGCATCACCTAAGCAAGAAAAGCATGTGGCTAAATGCATAATAACAGGAGTGGATGCAGAGATGGGCAGTCTGTATGTGAACCTGACTTTTAGAAATGACATGGAGAAGAACAAACCCTGGACCAAAAACAACTAAAAAGAATTAAAAACATTTGTCATTTATCTTGTAACAATCTCACTGAGATAAGTATTTTAACTGAGTTGACAGGGAACTGGTGATTTCCAAGTTTTGGAATGGCTGCCCGCTCAAATGGTCAAAATGTGTCTTTAAATCAAAACCTCACTTCAAGTAATTGTGCCATTACAAAAAAGGCAAATTAAGCTATTCGATTTTATTTTTTTAATCCATCCATCCATTTTCCGAAACGCATATTCCCAAATGGGGTCGCTTTATTTGTAACAAAGCTACCTGTAGAATTTTTTGTTTGGAATTAACTGTAAGAGTGAAAAATGGATTAAATAATGAGGACGTAAAAACAGTAAACACCACAAACCAGCTTGCACACACAAGATATTGTCAAATAAACACTACACCTCTTGGCCATTTTTGATCTTCCAGAGGCAAGCAATTAGTTTTGATGTGACAGCTTCAGAAACTGACTCCGCACAGATGCATTATCTTTCTGCCCCTGAGGGGTATCCTGTACGGACTATCACAAACCTGCCCTGATCCATCAAGGCCAGAGAGCCACATGTCTGGCACCAAGAGAAAGAAGCTTTGCTGAAAGATCTTTTAACACTATAGTCTTAAGTAAACAAGTCTAAAAATGTGTAATGTGAAATATATAGTATTTTCTTCAGAGTAAATGTATTAATGTTTATCAAACTTTTAAAATGCACGTAGAAGGTAGAGAAACAGTCAGGATATTATTCAATATAGGTTATTACTGTTACAATTAAAAATTGTAACAGTAGGAAACTGTCTCTCATTACGGGTCTTACTTGGAACCAAAGGCATTTCCATTAACTTCAAATAAACTTTTGAATCCATAATTATCTTTCGCATTGAAACCAATTACAATATTGCAGTGTTCTTTTTTTTCTTAGTGTGGAAGCCCTTAAAAGTCCAAGTGAACTATTTTGGCTGATGAGAAATTTGTGGAAGTATAAACTGGCAGAAGTTTATCCCTCTGAGTGTGACTGGATTTAAATTAAAAAAAGTGAAAAGAAAAATTAAGCTCCATTTATAGAAGATTTACAACAATGAAAGTTATATCTGTACCAAAAAAACAGCATTTAAAAAAAGCCAAAGCTTCAAGCAGTTTGTCCTTAAAGGAACTTTACCTGTAAGGTCCCACAAATGTCGTATGTGGCTCCATTAATATCGACTTTAGTCACATCCGTAAGAGTATTCAGAGCATTGTTTGTCCACGTTTTACCCCTTCGAGTAAAGCTTGGCTCTACGGTAGGCTGAATTGGGGGTTGGGGTTGCCATACTCCAACATCTGTACCATTTCCAAATGCCTGGATGGCATTACCTACGAGAGAGAAAAAAAACAAATAAGAAAAATAATGCAGTGTTGAGGAGAAATTTATTTATTTTGGAAAGTAGAGTATGCAGGACTCACGCAGACATCGATTGTTGGTGAAAAACTCTGCAAATTTATCACAGTCTTGCTTGCTGTTCCCACCGCTGCTGCAGTCACACCACGGTGACAGGCTAATGCCCACAGATCGCACATAATTGGGTGTCATCACTGTACCTGCAGTATGAAGGAAAAAACTACTGTTAGTCACTTAAAGTGTAGCATCATTATCTGAGTTGGAACCAAAAATAAGGAACATTGTTATTCAATTGGTTCTTTATTTGAAGAGACTTCAGACTGAGCTCAAACTGTATGTCAAACAGCTGAGGGTGAACTTACTCCACATTATATGTAGCATTAATTAATGGAGAAGTTTCATAGAATAACACAATTGGCTGGAGAACAAAGCCTGCAGGCTCTTGACAGGATATTTTATGGAAAAAGTGTTCAAAACCACAGAGTCTTTCTTCCTGATGCTGACAACCTTCTGTGTGAATATTGGCCCTGTTTACATGAGTAGCAGATAGCGGCTAATCTTATTTGTTTGTTAATAGTGTTTACCAAATGAGGAAAATGAGTGCCTTGTAGCAACTGGTAAACATTGTAATTAAAGTTACTCAATTCAGTGATGACCAAATCAGCGATGACCAAACTAGGCCTCTTGAAACTGTTGAGTATTTTCTCCTCTTGGCATAATTGAATACAATCACTACTTTTGTTTTGGGGGCATGATGTTGACTAGCCTTGTTATTAGCTCTGTGAAGCCTATTTGTAAGTGTGTGGAGAACCCATTCTCCTTGGAAGTGAGGGTTGAAGAACGCTGTGTCATTGGAGCAATAAACTGTGAAGAAGCAGATGTGTAGTGTAGATTTAAATGTCTGCTCGTTGAGATTGCGATTGGTCACTGTTGCCTTGGGTCTCATAACAAAATTTCAGTGGGACATAATTTGAAAAGTATTTTTCCTTAGTATGTAATGAAACTTGCTGATGAAAGGAAATCTGAGGCGAGTACAATTACTGGAGTGTGGTGTATGGCATGTTCACTTTACATGGATCCACAGTTTGACTGAAATTTTAGGATTATCATGATCTAGAAGGCTGCAGTTCTACATCAACGACAATTACCATTATTCAGCTTTACGTCTGAATTGACCTACCAATAAGACCAGAGTAAGACAGCAGGCAGTCAGCATAGTTCTCTCTGAGACAGCCGGAGATGGAACGAACTTCTGGCTGACAGCTGCTGATGAAGTCTGCCAGCCTTGACCTATTAACAAGAGAGATATAAGAAACATTTTATTTCATCAGCCCCTTTTCTCGTATTGTCTTCTATAAGATCTACATGACTGCCTAAGTCTACCGGTACTGTCTGTCATTTTTCTCATCTGTCAGTGAATGCACCAACAATACGTTAGTGAAGCAGATCCGATAACATTAGCCTGTTTTGGATCTCTTTGCGGTTTTACCTGCAGATGTAGTTGGTCTTGCATGTGTTCTGAAGGGAAAGACAGTTAGGTTTGTCTTTATCTTCGTAGGAGCAGACTGGAACGATGGTTTGCCGCCTGCGCTCAGCACAGGCTGTCTGGTCTCCGGCTGGACAGGAGCAGAACAGCATCCCATAGCTGTATTTGGTTGGAACCTTGATTTCAGAAAGAAGGGAAAAAAGACATGCTGACGCAAATTGTGGTCCTTCATCAACCCTCCAAACACAAACTTTTAACATCTTTTTTAAGAATTTTAATCATAACATCCAATGCAAATATACATTTTTTTAGTGACGTGAAAAACTGAACTCGGTTTGACCACACTGCTACTGTGGTCAAAGTGGATGTGAAAAGCTCCTTTTACTGATACACTTTAAGACACAACATCACACATGAAACCTCCACAAAGAGAGGATGCAATTAATCATTTAGAATCACGATGAGAGCCTTTTTTCACTTCTCAGACAAATTGGTTACTCGTTCAACCTCAAATTCCAACACAAACAGCTCTCAAACTTGCCATGCTTAATTACCTTGTCAAAGAACTGTCGTAGAGCCTTGTGACATTTGCGCTTGTTGCAGACCTCAGAAGCAGACACCCTGCTCGTGCAGGGGTTGATGTAAGCCGAGCGATATTTCTTACAAGTGTCGTTCAGGTTACAGGCTTTGGCAGCATTGAGACAATTGTTCTCCTTTGTGGACGCGGGCTCAGCTAGGAGAGAAGACAGACATTCTAAATTCCAAGAGCAGAATGTTATAGCAAACTTTTTTGATAGATATGAAACTAAAGTTTTATTTTATTTTATGAAGGGGATGCTGGAGCTTTTTGCTTGGTGCAAGTCAAGTCAAACCTGTGAAGATGCTTGAAGAAAACCATCAATGTTTGCTCAATTTTTGTCAGGTAAAATATCTGAGAAGTTTAGTAAACACTGGAACTTTGGACATTATTTTCACTCATTTCAGGAAATGGTGCGTCTTGCCATAAAGTGATGAGCGTTCAGTATTTTTCAAGGGAAGGCATAAATCCCCATGACATGACCAGCAAACCAACTGAAAGATTATGATTGAAAACTTGGAAGTGGTAAAACTGTGCCATGATGTGGCTCTGATCTATAATGACGATCTGTCAACTGCTATAGCAAGAAAGATGTATTCATCCAGTTTTATTTTGCATTTCATAAGTGACGTCTGTTCCCCAATTATTTCAAGCTGTGGTAATAGCCAGAAGAGATGCAACACGGTGGTAGCTGATTTGTTTCTTACTTCTTTATTTTCGACTCTTGAGTCCATTTTTGTCCCATAAATTGTGCTTGGGGTTGAACTCCTAACAGAGCATAAACAACTAGACCCCACAAAATTCTAACCAATTTACACAATGAAAATCTCAAACAATGTGGAAGACTGTTTAATGTAAAATATGATAATAATAAGAAACAAACTATAAACTGAAAAAAAGGCTTCGTTATTATGTTATTGGCAATTCTGCATCTGTCATCCAAATGATGTGGAAAGAGTAATTATCCCAAGTCACAGCTCGACCAAACCTTTAAATGATTGGAAATGGTCCTCCAGACTTCTTTTTATCTGTTCAAGAGTAATTTCTTACCCATTTATAGTGGAATTACCTCTTCTATCACGTCATTGGAACAACAAAATGGCAATTGTGTGACATCTTTAATCCCTGTTAAGAATGGCCATAGCTGTATATGCCAATAATATCCTGGGTATTTGCTGTCAATTATTTTAGGCTTTGAGGCTCAATTTTGTGTTTTAACTCTAGATTAGCTGAATAAATGAAGTACTTCTTGTTGTAAGATACCTCTATCAATATTCAATGGGCCATGGTCTCATACTGTGTGCTCCAGAGCAATCATCTTTGATCAGTTCACAGTAGTAAAAGATTTATATACAAGTTTTGCACCTGCTGTTTTTTCTCCCAAGACATAAATGTGATTTTGATGATGTATATAGATTCACCAAGGAAGCAGGTAAGAGGAAAACTAATAATTGTTCATCTTGATGATACAAGAAACTAGGTTTACAGAAACAAAATCCCTCACCTTTCCTTCCATCCCAGTATGACTTTCTTTTCATTACAGCAAAAGCACTCTATGGTCAACGTAATGCCTCTCCGTTCCTATTATCTCTCATTTGTTGTCACTAAAGTTTATCCTGCTCCACTGAGTTCTGCACAGCAACACAAACTGTATCCTCGGCCTCGACATGGAAGAATGAAGTTGGGTATTTTGCCTTTTGATGTGGAATTCAAGCTCACTGCACTATTTCATGCACCACAGAACGAGCTATGATTAAATCTGAATAAAATTTTTAACCTTGGGTTAATCACATATTACAAAACCCATTACTTACATCTGACAAGTGCCCAAATATGCAGGCTGTGATCCCTGAGTGGATGTTTGTAGCTCTTGGGCCATAGGTGGCACAGTTTTACTTCAATTACAGTTATATTTAGCAAATATATTCACCTGAGTAGTAAATACACTTTTTTGTGAAATATCCTGATTATTTTAAATCTCATGGGATTTGTTTACTCGAAAGCACAATTTCCTGAGATAACGGTATCAGGATTTTAAATCTGACCCTATTTGGATTATAGTATTTGCAGCAGCTACACATTTCTCAAACATTTTAAGGATCTTTTAAAAAATCCTCATTAACTAAAAATGTTCTAAATTGCAGTCAAACCATCGTATGCACACAACATACCATGTCGTAATTTTTTAGTAATGCCTGATTATCCTGAAACTAAATGACTTATATCATATGCTACAGTATATTCATTTCACTTGCTTAAATAGCTAAAGATAAACATCTGCTTCCCTTTCTTCCATTTAATGCTGTATTTGCCATTTCCCATCACAGAAAGAGAGCAGCAACAAACCGTTCCTGTTTGGTGGTGCACTATGTGGGTAGGTAATGTCACCCACTTCAACTTTACTAACTGCTTATGATGATGTGTTGGGGGAACTTAAGATGAAATCATGACTTTTTCAAAGAAGCATTTAATTAAGAGTAAGAAGTGTTTGTGGGATATATAGAGCCTCAGGTGCACTTTCAATGCTTCATGAAGTTTCAGTGATGTTAATCCACATCAATCCGAATACTTCTGTTCCGAATTTTTGTTTTTCAAGGCATGTAACTGATCCTTTATTTCTCAGTAACATTTCCTATTGTCAGACTGGCGGAAAGTCCTGGAAAAGAGGGAGTGAGGTTGTCAATGGCTTTGAGTTCAGGAAGGAATATGTTTAATATTACACTCAGATTATCTGCTGTCTGGGCAGCTTTGTGTTGCTTAAATTTCAGGTTATGCACAAAAGACATTGAAGGCTATTCAAATAGAGAAAATAATTCTCATACTCTGAAAGACAAGTGTCTCTCAGTATGTTACATTACAAACAAATCATCTGGTTGGATTAAAAAAAAAGCTTCTGTTTTATTTGTCAGAAAGGCCCATAAGTAATGTTCTCCAGGTTTCATTTGGAAGCCACCAAAGAAAACAGATTTAATGGATAATTTGAGGACATGACTTCCTTAGGGGATATGAACTACATGATAAGATTGCAACTTATTTCCATGGCGCTGATATCTGAAGTTTCACCATGTGATTGTGCAAAATACAAACACTATACCACTTCTTTTCAGTTGGAATAAGTGTTGTTATTCAGAGGTCTGTACAGGGACAGAACAGAATATGCAGAGAACCAGTGAGGAACGCATAGAAATAGGCTGCTGCTAAATTAGCAATGTGACTCCAGAGAAAAAAAAAAGATCAGCATATTTGAAGTTTGCCATCGTCTTATGGCCACAGTCTTTTACAGGAATAGTTCAATCTTATGTGCACTGTTTAAGCCAATGGCAGAGACAAATGTAATAGAGGACTAATCTGTTGCCTCGGGCGCCTCAACCGACTGAATTATTCTTGAGATTCGTTCAGTGACAAACCATCATGTCAGGCTTAATTTCTTGTTCACTGGACTATATCCTCAGCTATGGATGAGATAAGAGGATAGACAGGGATTTGATGATTGATTTTGAATTCAGCAGTTGGGTTAGTGGAAATGGGATATGTTTAAAATGTTAGAAATTGGATGTTTTGCTTGAGTTTTTCTTCACTTTTCATTTAATTTTTTGTTTGGACATTTTCTACCTATTGAGCCTCTCTTCTTTAATAAGCCATGTTAATGCCATTGTTTTGTTAAAAATATGCTGTCTCTACAATCAACTAATGACTTTAGAATGTAATGATGCATTGCAGCAATTTAGCTTTTCCCAACTCTTTGCATGGATTTTGACAAAGAAAATACGAGCAAACTTGAAATCACAAGGATTTCTGCAGCCTGTAACAACTTTCTACGTGCCTAATTCCAAATATGTTTAGACACAAATCAGTAAATCCTCTAATATCTGTTGTTGTGTATGCTGTCTCATATTGAGGGTTTTGCATCTAATGGAAGCAGTAGAATGAATAAAGATGTTTAATGCACTGACTAATCAAAATGAACATTTCATTCTGTACTGTCATGATTGTATTTATTTTCAGGCATTTAGATTTCCAAGCATCACTCCCCCATGGATAAGTTATGGGATACAGTAAAGACCATTCTGTCTAGCAGCACACTATTTTACACTGCTTATTGCTCCAGGCCAGGCTTAGTTTCAGGCAGGAATGAGGTCACTTATGGTAAATGGATTCCTGATATGTTGCCAGTTAAGTGATTTATTATTTCTAGAGGCTCCTGTGGCTGTTTACAGATTGATTTACGTTAAAATGGCTACTCTGCTTCAATTCTATGTCCTCATCCCAATTTTTTTCTCACATAATCTAGCTAATCAAGGTGATTTTCTTATGATAAATGTACCTGATACTGAAAGGTTATCCTGCCAATTTTCAATGTTCTGAGTCACTGACTTTGATGGAAGAGCACATTAGCCACAAATCAGATTTTCAAGCATATCTTAATCAAGAAAATGAAAAGAATTATTTTATTTCCTAAGGTGTCAGCTACCTTAGCAAAGCTACATGAATCATTTGACCTGGCAGTGAATGAAACTGAGCGCCGTACATTTCTTTTGCTTTTTCATTAAATCATTAAGGTCATTGTTTTAATTTGTTCTTGCTATTGCTAAAAGCAATGTTAACTTTGAACCTTTACAGAATAATTTAGAGTTCTTCATAATCTCCCATTGCTATAATGATATTACCTTATTTGAATTCCAATATTGTGTTTTTTTCTCCTTCTGTGTTTGAAATACTGTTTAGCATTATGTCATCTTATGTGGAACAGAGCCACTGTGATATGCTAAGTGGATTTAATCAAAGTGAAAGCCAGAGACTGACAAAACCCAGCCTGGAGGAGGAAGGAGAAATGACCTTTTTACTGCAACGGTTGGGGGAATTTCAGCAGACAACCTTCTCCTGCCAGAAAGTCCAACAATGAGGATTCACAGATTGTTCTGCAATTGTCACTAAATACAGACGGATGGTTCACTGCTCCTTTGTGTTAATGCGTCTGCAGACCTAAACATTGTTCTGCCTAAGCGTATGCTCCTAGGTTCACCTTTAATGTTTGTGGACGTGTAAAGCATTCATAACAACAATGGCAAACAAGTTAGGTTTTTTCAAGGCACTGGCCTTAACAGGCACAGTGAAATCAGACAATACAAATGATACTCTAAAAGGACGACCAATTAAAAACTCGCACATAAACACCATGTTCAGCATTAGTACAACAGTGTGAAAACAGGCCGACCGCTCGTCGCTGCTTTGAGGGATGAAAGGGAAACGCACGAAATGACTCTGCTTTGTGTCATGTGGGTGACATTGTCAGATAAAGCTTTTTGTGATTTATAATGGGCAGTGAATGCTGCGGCCTGATACTGGACAGTGATAGAAACAATTTGGTTGGGAGATATAGTGACATATTTGTTGACGCGGTGGCTAAATGTCAAGTACAACTGGGCAATATGAACAAAAAACACGTTAACTTAATGCAGCACAATGGTAAAAGTGAAACCTTGAAGAAGGTAAACTCAGCCTCTTACCAGCTATGATGGGAGCCAGGCGGAAGATGTCTGAGAGCCTGCTATTGACTGGTTCATATGGAGAGTATTCCAGTAAATCATTACCTGCAGGGCGAAACACATCGTGAACAGTGTGTACTTGAAGTGGTGTGTGTGTCCGTGTAAATATGTCTGTGTGAGTTAAGGCTTTCTGGCATTCTTTAACATTGTAATACCAATTGCATAATTAACCTTAATCATATTGATCTCAGTGATTAGCACTTTAACTCCGCAATGCAATAACACAATTGGATTTGGGGTGTTTTCCTCTGTACCTGGGGTTTGCTTTGATCAGATACATTTATGATGCTCACATTGGTTTAAAAATAATTCAAAGCTCATAATTTCAGAACTGCATGTAATGGGATGTTTGTTGCTGTTGTGTAAGTGTGACAAATTGACACTAAACGCGACTAGAAACAATTTTGCGTTTGTAGCACATCCTTTGCTCAGGTGCTTGGAATTAGGGGAGAGCCACAGGTTGCTACTGCAGTGTGACATAAGTTCTGGACACTTTTAAGTTCAAAGACAAGTGCTTAAGTAGAGAACACAAGGTATTAGATTTAGAATTCATTTGCATACAAGGAATGACTGTTGTTAAAAGTATAAAATTTGTGACTGGTGTTTCTTTATCTATTTGAAGAGGATACGTTTGAGCATCTGAAGTAACAGATTAAAACAAATGATCTATTGCTGTTTTACATTCGATGCTGTGATTTTTGCTGATATGTCTTTCCTGTTTTACGAACAGTTAGACTTTGCATTTGTTCGGCCTAATATCGCTTCAGCCCACTCGAACTTGTCCCCCCCACTTACTTTGAGCATACCTTGTAAACTTTGAAAAATGCTCCAAAATATCCGGAGGCAGTTCTTCTCCTTCTTCATGCCTCTCCTACACCTGCAGCTGTAGAGGGGGCTTTGCTTGACGGCTTCTATGGCGCTGCGGCACTCTCCCTGCGCCTCTGCCCCGGTCACCGCGCTGAAGTTGCTCTCCCGCCCCGCCACGCACTGCCTCATGGTCCGGTACTTGGTGCTGCAGGAGTACTCCTTCAGACATTGCTCGCTGGCTTTTACGCAGTCCAGTCGGACGTTCCGGGACTCTGAATTGCTGTTGCCCTTCAAAGGCAACCCTGAATCTGCGAATTACAAGAACTGGTGAATGATTTGTGCGATGCGCACTGACCAATCCATATGCGTAATAGTAATGCCAAAAAGGAGACCGGGAGCATCAGTGTTGCTTGGAATCCCACGCCCCACCAAAACAAAAGAAAAAAACACAATGAAAAACATACAACAATAGAAAAACAAAAACAAAACTCTTAGATATGCAGCAAGTGATTAAAATCTGAATCTCGGATCCTCATCCTCGACTATCAGAACAATTCAGCTTGGTGGTGCGCTTTGTTTATCTCCGCTGCCAGTGCTTCTGAAGAATGGTTCAGGAATATATTAACAGAAAAAGAAAAGAAAATAAGTTATAACTCACCTATGGTGAACAATATAATGACAAAAGTTAAAATCATTTCGTCTAAGAAGGTTTCAAGACTTCAAAAGACGTCGCTGCGGTGGGGATTAAATGTCAAGAGCACTTCTCAGACTGCTCCACTTCTCGTTTGGCTGCACATTGTGTAGGCTGGAAATGTGTTGCATTCTGTAGGTCCAGCAGACAGAATCCCACTTGTCAGTCTGAGTTCAGAATAACAAAAAAATCAAACAACCTCAGAGCCTTTTGGGACACATCAGACATTAGACATGGCACAGACGGATTTCCACTTCAGTGTGTTGTTATTCCTCCTGCTTTGTTACCCTGCGCCGCTCTGTGATCCCACCGTCATTCGGGGTCGAGGACAAAAACTTTCAAATACAGCCCAAAACGACCAGACAGTTTTAAATGATCATTTTCTGTTCGTCAAAGTAGCTAGTGAAACGAAATGCGTAAATTGTATCCGTGCAACTGAAATGCATTCCGCTCGCCAGGTAAGGACCAAATGACAACGTTTGATCCAGACTATCCTCCGCTCTTGGGGAGAAAAAAAAAGAAAGGGGGGAAAAATCGGCATGCAGCGCGTGAAGGTGTGACGTCATGCGTCTGTGCGCACAATAATCTTAATCATCTCTTAAAACAGTCTAAACAAATGGGTAACTGGCAGTGAGAAGGTTATTCGTCATGTAATGAAATTTCAGCCGGAGAGTCCACTTATTTAGTATTTGGAAAATCAACATTTAAAGCCTCTGTAAGCTGCTGAGCTGTGACACCCTGAACATATTTCAAATTCATCTATCAGCAACTGATTTGCAACATATTTTCTGTGTCTTGTCACGTTTAAGTGCAACATTTCATTTTTCCTAAAACAGGGTATAAAGATTTTTATTAATTTAGTGAAGGAGTGAAGTAAACTGATTTATTTGTGTTAACACAAATAGTGATGGCAACCTAAAGAACTTTTCTGTCAACATTTGCAATTGCTTCATTGGAGAGGGAGACTAAATGATCAAAATAACAAATTAATATGGAAAGGAATAAATTAATTTAGGATGTGGGTGGAAACTGACCAGGTGCTTCCTGAGAATTCATGAAGTTGATAATGTTCTGACAAATTCAAGTCTGTCTCTGTCCTTTGTAAGTTTTATTTCATAAAGAACTACAATAATCCTAAATGCTGACCAACAAATCGAACAAAAAAAGCTTCCATATTGGAACACCAAAATGTAAATGTTTAGCAATGAACAGAGTTTTTGAAAATCATGATACATATAGTTTCTCAAACAAAATTGAAAACCGAACAAGCATCACCGGCAAAATCTTCAGTGAACATTAACAGATCTAACTGATGAGCAATGATGTTTTAAAAAATGAGTTGCATCCTCCTGTTGCTCAAATGGAGGCATTGCAGAGCATCAGCTTCTTTAAGTTTACAGTAAAAACTGACATTAGATGCTTTCTTAAAATTACGCTTATGAAACATTACAATAAGACTGGTATGGATTATACAACACACACACAGGGGAGCATAATGGAGATGTGGTTTCAGGGAGTGTCATGAGCTGCAAACTGAATCAAGTATGAGAATGAGGGCCGGGAGAAGCAGGACAGTTGAAACAAGAACAGAAAAAAATCAGTTAAATTAAACATTGATAAGAACATTGCTGTGTCTCTGGGGGCTACATGTTTGACAACTGAAAGTACCGCACCACAGAGGTCTTTGGGAATGCAGTATACCAGTTTGCCGGCAAATAAATTAAGTCCATGAAAAGCAGAAAACCCTATCCACAGTAAAAACGTCTGGGAGGTACAAAGAAGCTGTTAGACTATATTTCTGCTTCTGATACCAGGCACCCTGAGTTACATTAAAAAAGGATGAAATCAGATGATATTATGAAGGAATTATCCATCAAAACACATTGCCCTGTGGTCTTGGAGCTTTGCCAGCACCACCTGGAGCACAGAAGCTGTAGCACCACACAAAACAAGATGCATAGCAAAAGATGGAATGTCAAAAATATGTTTCAGATTTGCCAGCAGTTGTGGCCTAAATCCACTTTGATATCAGAAATATCCTACTGCAAAAAGAACAGCAAGTGTGAAATAACTTAGAAATTTGCGATTTAAAAATAATTTTAATGGTGTTTGCAGATTAAAAGATGGTTCTTGATACAATTGTTGCATATGCAGGAGGTGCAATGACAAATTTCAAAGACTATTTGGATTTAACCTGTGTAAACGAGAAGAAACTCTCATCTACACCGGTTTAATTTGTGTTTTGTGTCTTCATTGAATGTGACTGCACTACTTGTGTCTATAAATAATTTATTTTCAAATGTCAAAGATTTGAAAAAGTTTAATAAAGGCAATAATGTTTTCTTTTTATTTAGCTTCAGGGATTAGAGCAGAAATGCCTTAAAGTATGTGACTTTCTTGCGTTATAGCAAAGAATCTGATAGAGGGTTTTGCCACAAGATTAAATCAATTGAAGCTTATCTAATTAATCATTTGGGAGTGCCTATCTCATTGCCTCCCACTAGATGTAAGTCACGGCACATTTCCTGCCTTAAGTAAAAGGCAGCCATTAAGGACATTGATTTGTGTTTTTATGACAGGATAGAAAATCATGCAAAGCTAAAGACCCCTGTTTAGCCTCACAACTTTGTACAACCATGAAAATGTTAACACTCTTCAAATATCTCACATTATTTACAAACAAAAATTTATTTTGTTACTTTTGTATAACGTTGCACAGTGAAATACATGGTATTTTTTTTAATCAACAACAACATATAATTTTTATGTTAATCTGAGATTTAGTGCCCTCTAAAGCACCTTTTGAGTTAAAAAGACATCAGATTAAGAGTTTTCCGTGTTGGCAGCTGAGGTCATATTTCTTTCATATGATGCATCATTCTTAAGTAAATGACAAATCCATACAGCATCAGAAACAGGAGCAAGATCAATCTCTGAGGTCCTTTACTCACCAAAGGTTCTTTATTATCTTGCAAAAGCTCTTTCTGCATTTTCCATCTCCTCTCTTTTATGGAGATCATCCATTTGATGTGTCCCTACTGAACACATGAGCTTTTGCAACACAAGAACATTTGCAGGGTGAGATTTATGGGGGAGTAATCAATACCATTGTTCTGTGGATATCAGAAGGTCAATCCCCAGCAGTTACTGCGCTCCTGAGTGAGTCTCCACAGTGAGTCTCCACATGCGCAATAAGTCAAATCACATAACATCCCTTTTAAAGCAAAGTTTGTTCATTGTTCATATTTGACTTATTTTGTACCTGTAGGGGATGGACGGGCAACCTGAGCAGGGTGTACCCCGACTCCCGCCCGTTCTCAGATGGGATATACTCCAGCCAATAAGTTGTATAGAAAATGGACGGATGGATGCGCCTGTAGGCAATGCACAAGTTTCTCCCATATCACCTATTTAAGCTAAATAACATACCCAAAAATGCAAACTGATCTTATATATGATGACACGAACTCCCCTGCAGCATTGTTTTTATTCTTGTCAGGGTTTTTTTCTGTTTTCAAAGCTTACTCATTTGTTTGACTCTATTCTCTCTTGAATCAACAGTGCATTTTAGACCACGCTTCACCAAGTTTTAAAATATAGAATTAATTTTTTTGAGACTTTAAGTGTTATATTGATATCATTTTGATGATGAATGTGTGTAACTGCCCATTTGCCCTAAATAAAAAGCTACAGTACCATCTAGTGGAAAATACAATTACACACATGTTCTTTGATGTATTGAATTATTAACATTTTCCTGTTTAAAATGTGCTATTGTTGATACATGTAGCATTCCCATTGGAGATATATGTGTTTTTGGATTACCATCGGTGGAATAAAATCAGATGTGAAAAACCACTTCTTAATCATAACAGTTACCACTTTACTGTGCATGCCTCTTTTTGTATGTGTGCCTCTAATTGTCTGTGGTCCACAGTTTGTTTAATCACATGCTCCTTTCACCACCTCACAGGTAAACGTGTCAGACTGGGTGACAGACCTCACAGGTCTGTGAACCAGTCTGAAAGGGATTTTTCTCTCTGCAGGAACATGAAAAGAGTTGTGCAATGTGTGTCTTTTTCAACCTGCGCACTTTTTGCGCTGTTAAATAAATGTATAAGTCTTGTTGCAGTTATACTGATAATAGATAACTTGTGGACATGCTGTGTAGCTCCCATTTGGTTTTGTCTGTTTCAGATGTGTTCATATGAACATAGTATGACTTCAAAGTAGAAATATCATCATTTCATTGCAGTTTCTCCTTAGTGAGCTGATGATCTGTTTGATTTGGCTTATTTTAAATGCATAGAGGGAAATAGGTGGATCATAAGGGAGCTCAAACTGTATGTTTAACTTGGCTTCCTCAAGGCAAGAACGACTTCAGTTTGGTTGTGATTGGCATTTGTAAAAGTTGCTTTGATAAAGTAAAGGGAAGCCAGCTTCAGAGTTTTGATAATTTGAAAAACACCTGTTTGAATAGACAGAAATGAGAATTATATCTTAAAGCACCCATGTTATCTCTTGGTGACTCAGAAAATGGATGTTTGCGGTGCCACATTTGCCTGTTGTGGTGATGGAAGCAGATGCACGTGTCTCACTTATCTGTGACTAAAAGGGAAAATATTAGCATGCAAACTACTCACTGATATGGTCAGCTAGGTTGTGTCAATGAGTACACAACTTTATCCTCAGAAGAAATTGTACATGTTTGATATAATATCAAATATGCTTTATCGGCATTCAAAAGTTAGTTTCTGCTTGGGAAATCAGATTTGTGCAAGGCAGCAAAAGGGAAAAAAAACTCCAGGATGCAACCAAGATTTAGGTTCTTATATTTTTTTTATGTTTAGACTGAAGTTTTGAGAATAAAAACATTGATGATAGATAGGTTCATGATGCAGCTGTGCTTTCAGGGGCATTCAGTTATTTTTTATGGTGCAACAATTCCTTCCACCTTGAGCAGCAACAGCGGAATCCTTAAACACTGCACAGATATGGGATCAGTCGTGCATAAGAAAAGCAGCAGGGGGCAGTGTGGGCACATCAACAAAGTCCAAGGTAAGACTTGACATGAAGGCGGCTCTATATTTCATAACACCACCAAGGCGATAATCTTAAAAATAGTGCTGAGTGTTGCACAGCCATTGTCTGATCATCCCAAATGCTCTGAGAGAATTTAGCCATCGAGCTATGATCTTGCAGGCTTCATCTTGGGGAGCTTTTTTCCCCCTCTCTTCCAGTTGCATTGAGCAAAACTGACAGTTGAGGTGACAGAGCCAGCCATGTAGAACAGTTAATCCACACACACACACACACACACACACGCACGCACGCACACACACACACCGACAAGCTTAGTATTTATGGGTTCCTTTCAACCCTCCATTTATGCAGTGCATGCAGACTGTGCACGTGGGCAGAGTCACAGTTCTGCTGGAACCGGACTACTTAGCTTGATGACCATATAACACGGCTCTGCTGGTATCA